TCTACAGAAGTTTTTTTATTTTTTTTTTTTTTTTTTTTTTCAGTATTATATACTTTCCGATCAAAAATATATTTATTTCTGAGCTTCACCAGAGGTTCTGCAGTTATTCTCATTAAAGAGTTTCTCTATTAAGAGTGTTCTTGCACAGCTGGAGTAATAGAACGGCTGAAGAAGTTTCCAATCATCCCTGTATTCCGCTGGAAGCTTTTCGATCCCGGATCTCGACCAATCGTACTAATGATCGTACATTTTTACCTTTTAAAATACCAGATAAAATAAAAAAAACCACTCGAGCTTACTGTAATAACAGCGGTAAAAATAATACAAGAGATAAAACAATTCCCTTGAAAATTCAATACACATTCTTTCAACTTAATATTTTTCATCTTTACTCTCTTTCGCTTTTTTTATTTCCACAATTTATTCCACAAAACTAAAGACCGTTTTTCGCTGAAATAAAATTCCACAGATCGTTTATTTTTTCATTTCATCAGACGAATCTAATTACATTACACCACTTGAACTGATAATATTCTTGTATCCATATTTAAGCTATAAATAAATGTCCTTGATTACAAGCTGGAAAAAAAATAAAGCCCTGCGGTGAATTAAAGGGAAAATAAATCCAGAATTAAATAAGGGAGGAAAGAGAATTAGCGGTGTCCATCCGCCCTATCTTTTCCTTGGAACGTATTTGACCTTTTTTTTTGTGTAAATACAAGCCGAGAATAACTGAGTGAAGACAAAGTGTGTATTAGCTAGTGATGTAACTAAAAAATGGACAGATTAATGGTCATTTTTTTAAGTACATTATTTTGTAATTTAAAAATTTTTGATAATTTGTTGTACAAAATTTAATTTAGAATTTTTAAAAACTTTTTTGCCAAAAAAATGACTTTAAAATTTATTTTTAACTTTTTGGGTCCATTTTTTTGATAAAAAAAAATATGTAAATATTGTTGACAGACAAAAAAAAAGTCAATGCTCATTAATACTCATGCAAAAAATTTTTGATCATAAATGTCAAAATTTTCAATAAAATTAATTTTATTATAAATTTAATCTCTATTTCTAGGTACATAATTAAGAAATAACCTTGCATCTTGTAAACTATTGACATTTTTAAAGATATAAGCTCATCCTGATGTTACACTCATCGAGACCTTTCATTTGAGTACCCACATTAATTTTTCATATATTTTATATATTTATATATATGTATATATGAAAAATATATGAAAATGCATGTGGGTACTCAAATGAAAGGTTTTGATGAGTGTAACATCAGGATGAACTTATATCTTAAAAAATGTCAATAATTAAGAACTGACTCTGCTATCTTGTCAACTATTGACATTTTTCAAGATATAAGCTCATCTCTATATTATACTTATTGAGACCTTTCATTAGAGTACCAACATCAATTTTTCATATATTTATATATATTGTATATATATATATATATATATATATGAAAAATATATCAAAAATGCATGTGGGTACTCAAATGAAAGCTCTTGATGAATGTAACATCAGAATGAGCTTATATCTTAAAAAATGTCAATACTTAAGAAAGTACAGTGCAATTTAACAAAATTCATTATTTAATAAAGCAGAATTTTATTTATTCAGACTGCACGGTCATTAGTAATGATAAATAATTTTATTTTTTCAATTTTAAAACTCAAAAAAATTTATTAATGCTCAATAAAATTTATTTTATAAGTTAAAAAAAATAAGGGATGAAAAATGGTCGTATATTTCATAAAAAAAAATTAAAACTTCACCATAAATTATTTTTCCCAAGTCAAATAAACACTTAAAATAAATCGCCTACCAAACAATAAAAAAAAAATTCAATTCTATTTATTTTTCCAACAGGAAAAATAAAAAAAGAATATTTATCTGGCATTTGAAATATTTAAACAGCAAAACGTGAACATATGTGAGGTACAAAAAAACATCAAGTGCACTTGAATTTAAAAACCAAAGGCCCTTTGAAATAAAACGGTATTGCGTCAAAGCTGTTACACCCGCGAACTCAGGCATCATCCTGCCCGGGCTTACGTACACACGTACTATCATTATTGTTATTTATTATCCTTGTTATTACATGTGTATTTAATACAGTAATCAATAACGCCCGAGAGAACATCAGAATGTGGAGAAGGGGAGGTGTAACAAGTAATGAAATTACAAATTCAACGCTAGTGACTGGTGAATTACTGTCCAGCGGATTTGTTCCGGCCAAACTATACATTCTCTTCGGTAAATCGACAAGCAATCAATTTGTTAAATGTTGCATGTCCTCTGCCACCTGTGCTGACTACTGACATTAAATAGAAGCACGCATTGGAGAAAAAACTGGGTTATAAATAAATTCGGTACGGGGATGAAAAAAAAAATTTTTTTTTTTTCCCATTGAGCCCTTGCAGTAAACCCAGTCGTAGTTGTATAGTTATAGTTATAGACCAGTCGCAGTGCGTCCAATGAAAGTAAAGAGGAATTACGTCGATCGATAGAGTAACCGTCGGCGCCTATATTATATCCAGCAATACTGTCGTCATCCGGATCTGACGCGGTCATAAACTGAGAAAAGACCAAGATGAAGATGAGCGGAATATTATAACTTTACCTCAGGATATAAATACACTTATCATGGCTATAGCGGGTTAATATGTCGTCAGGCTCACGGTGAAGGCTGATACTTGTCATGGAGAATTATTGTCCATTTTTACTTTGGTCTAATCACTATTAACAAACCCTCTAGAAAAATTATTGTTTGTTAGTTTCATATTTTGGTACAAATATCAATTTATTATTTTTTCTTTTTTTGATAAAGATTTTGAAGAAATCGTGAGCAAAATTTAATTACATTTTTAGTAAAAATATATTATTTAAATTATTATCTTGATTTTTAAAAATTTTTTAATTTATAATAAAATTAACTTATAATAAATAAATAGAATTTTGCTTTATTAAATAATGACTTTTGTTAAAATACACTGTACTTTCTTAAATATTAACATTTTTAAAGATATAAGCTCATCCCTAAGATATACTCATCAAGAGCTTTCATTTGAGTACCCACATGCATTTTCATATATTTTTCATATTTTCATATATATATATATATAAATATATGAAAAATTGATGTGGGTACTCAAATGAAAGGTCTCGATGAGTGTAATATCGGGATGAGCTTATATTTTTAACAATGTCGATATTTCACAAGATACAAGGTAATTTCTTAATCATCAACATTTTTGAAGATACAAGCTCATCCAGATGTTACACTCATCAAGAGCTTTCATTAGAATACCCACATGCATTTTTGATATATTTTTCATATATTCATATATATATATAATATATAAATATATAAAATATATGAAAAATTGATGTGGGTACTTAAATGAAAGCTCTTGATGAGTGTAACATCGGAATGAGCTTATATCTTTAAAAATGTCAATAGTTCACGAGATACAGGGTAATTTTTAATTATATATCTAACGATAGAGCATTTTTGAATGCAGCTTAAATACTTATCATAATAAATTTACTATTTATGAGAACACATTAATCATTGGATACAAAATTGCACTTATTCTTTTAATAATATCGGTTATTAATATTTTCCAAAAAAAGATTTTTTTAAATTTAAATTATAAAAAAATTTTCCAATCATTGAATAGCTAAAAAATAAATGACATCGTAATATTTCATTTCGGCCGAACCTTATGATGCCACACCTGAAGTTATAACTTTTCGAGGATAATGGTAATTTTAATTACTTAGCACATAACTCGAGACATTTTTATCAGAATCGATGGCAATAAAGTGCAAAAATAGATATTGGATACATGTAGGAACTTTGAAAGTTTGCCCGATAGTTAAAGAATTTTTAATTAAAACTCTCCAATAATGCGGTATTTAAAATATGTACACAGTTATAGTTAGATCAAATAAATTAAAACTGCGGTAAACATAAAAGGGAGTATTTGTCGAGCCGGCGCAGCGGTTTCTTCGGTAAACATCGGCAATTTTATAAATTTATTACCCCGAAATTATCGAGCGCATTTATCGGTCCTTGTGATATCATATTACGTATTATGTGTAAAGAGCTTTGTGCAAATACGTTTTGCATCGCCGGCTTAGAGCTCAATGCGTACATTCAATACCGAACGTCTGTTATGTCGGTACGTAATACGAAATACGATAAACAACAAATGCGATTATAAACCTAAATATCAACAAAGGTAACTCCCTGTAGTGTGTGCTTAAGTAGAATTATGTGCATAAATATTTTTAAATGTCAAATTTATTAATATGTAATTTTTTTAATTTTTATCAATCTTTTTTTTTTTAATTATTTGTTAATTATTAATTATTAATTTTATTGAAATTTATTGAATTTTATTGAATTTTATTGAAATTTCTTTTAAAAATACAATAAGTATATAAATTAGTCAATTTTTATGTTTATTTTTTTTTTAACATAAAATAAATTAAAATTTTTTATTTAAATAATAAAAAAAAATTCTTCTTACAATTTAAATATCAAAAATACTATTTTTTTTAATTTAATAATTTAAAAATAAAAATACTTGAATTTTTTTTTAATTTAATGAAAAAACATAATTAATTCCTCAAATTTTTATTATTTTTGGTACATTGCTTTCTTATACTACTAAAAATAGCAAACAATCAAAAAACTTCAAGTAAAAAATTACTAGAATTTTTAAAAATTCTTCAAAAGTCTGCTATATTAATAATATTAATTATTTTTAATTAAAAAAAAAGCGGGAAGGGGCAAAAATTAATAAAAAAGGGAGCGAAGCATACTATAAGAGATAAATCCTTGTAAAATATCAAAAATTGAACAAGTGAAATCTTCTAAAGTATATTTTTGTGTTATAATATTTGATAATAATAATCATATGTAATAAAATTGACTATCCGGTGACCAAAATGAACATAGAGCCGATGAAAAACCTCAATTATTTACCCCACCATCTGCCCCTGCAATTACAAACTCCATTTGAGCAAGACCCGCCGCGTTTTCCTTGAGCGATGCATTTCGCGGCGCAAGCTGAGTGATTAGGCGAGACCCACTGCGATTGGAAGGAGAACAAATCACAGGTTAAGCGACGTTCTCTGACTAGTTCCGGGCCTTGTGCGTCTATTTCACTGGCCGCGGGTCCGAGTTCGTCTATCTCGCTGGCGACTGGCTCGGCATCTGCTCGATAGAATCAGAAATGAAAATTAATTAAATAAAAATATAAATAGAAAATTTTTAATTAAAAATTTGAACATAAACTGACAATCACTTGCGACGTCACGCTCAAAGAGTCTATTCGGCACTGCAGCAGCGGAAATACTCGCGATCAGACACGAAGCGAAGATAAATTCAATTAACAACTTCATTGTAATTTATTTTAATAAATTTTTAACTTTGTCCACTGATTGGTATGCAATGAAGCGAGTCCGAGAGATCCCGGTTTTTATATGGTACCTAAGAATGAGGAAAAAGGAAAAAATGGACGAGGATGTGGAGCAAATGTTGGCAAAAATAGGATTTTAATCTCAAAATGATATATCAAATGGTTTTCCGGTGTTAAAGGATCAAATTGCGGGCAAAATAATTGCGAGGATAGAGAGAAAATTTATGTGATATTATATTATATTATTATTATTATTATTATTATTATTATTATTATTATTATATTTAAGTGAGTGTGTAGGTATGTATGTATGTGGTATATATGTATAACAGGGAGGGCGAGGAAGGAAACCTTAACCGCGTGTCCTGGTGTGGTTCAGTTTGTGTCCGGTGAATCTACAAACGCACTCGGAGATTGAAGATCCAATGCTTCGGCGAATTCCAAGGACTTTGGCCAGTAGGCAGTCAAGGAAATCGTTCACTTTACTGTACTCTAAACACACTCCACACTCCGCTCTCCAAACTCCAAACTCCACGTACTTGAACATTGTTTCATCAATAATTTAATTAAACTCCCTATTAATTATGATATTGCTTCATTTCACTCTAAGTAATTAAATTGTATTAATTTCTAATAATAATAGAAATAATAATAGTAATCAATGAAAATGTTATTATAATCTATGTTATTAAGAGAATAAGAAAAATGTTGTATTCAGAAGAGTCATACGATAAAATTGGTTTTTTTTTTTTAGTGAAATTTAGTGTCATTGCAAAGGTTCTGACTTGAATTTGTACCTTTTTAAGGTTTCATATTATTCTCGCTGATAGATAATTTATTATGATAAGTATTTAGGCTGCATTCGAAAATACTCTATTTTCAGGCACATAATTAGGAAATGACCTTGTATCTGGTGAACTATTGACATTTTTAAAGGTATAAGCTCATCCTGATGTTACACTCATCGAGACCTTTCATTTGAGTACCCACATCAATTTTTCATATATTTTATATATTTATATATATTAGATATATAAATATATGAAAAATATATCAAAATGCATGAGGGTACTCAAATGAAAGCTCTTGATGAGTGTAACACTAGGGTGAGCTTATATCTTTAAAAATGTCAATATTTAAGAAAGTACAGATCATTTTAACAAAATTCATTATTTAATAAAGCATAATTTTATTTATATTATTTTATTATTATTATTATTATTTAATTAAATGAAAGTGTTTATATGTAGGTTAAATTTATTGAGAAATACTCAATTTCGTTTAAAGTTTCATATTTTTATTTATTATATAAATATATAAATTTTATATAGGTCATTATATATAAAATGATAATATATTAAATTTATAAGATCATAATAATATAATTTGTTGTAAATTAATTTACCAGAAAATTTGAATCTCTATAAAAAAACAATAACAAAAATCAATAATACTAAAATATGCATACATCAATTATACAGAGGTAATTATTGAATTATTAACCGTGAAATCTACATTGAATTATATATTTGATAAAACAGAAGGATAGATTAATTAATATTGATATTCTGATGCATAAATTATAAAGGTTATGACGATGACAAGATATCCGATAATACTCTATTGATATTACATCCTATAAAAGTTGATGAATAAATGAATAAAATCTTCAATGAGCCCCGATTTAAAATTTAAATTCTAAAGGTTCATTTTATCCGAAAAAAATTTTAAAATACGATAAAAGATTATTATTTTTGATTTAATATAGGAGGAAATGCTCGCATTATATTGTCGCGGATACAAGAGGAGCATCCTCAGCATAAATTTATCTCTGTTTCTCGTTAGCACGTAGTACGTACTCTCCTATCGTACATGATATAGTGTACGGTAACTACCGAGGACCTATTCTCGGATCTGCTGATAAAAAATAAATATCACATAAACAACATAAGCTGTCCCGAGTAGAGTCCTATCAAGCGCAGGATGCTCTGCTTTAATAAAACATTAAAGAATAAAGATATACTTCCCTGTTTTCTCTTTCCTCTTTCTGTTTTCTTCTCCACTTATTTTAAGATTATAAAAAATCAGTTAACCCTCTTCTCTTTATACTCTACAATGTATTTTTTAATTGAACATTTTCTCTGTTTATTAATGAATAAATTAATTAAAAATGTAATACAAAAATTGATAATTAAATACATCAAAAATTCAAATAAAAATGAATTATTACGGCTTAATGACCCAAGATACGATAAAATTAATAGGAACTTTTTTTATAGGCAATTTAATTGTCTATAAAAAGTATTTTTACAATTTTTTGTTCTTAAAAATTTAACCCGCAATTTGAATTTCGAATTTCTTTCTAATAAAAAGTCTTAAATAAAAAAAAAAAAATAATAATAATAATAATAATCAGAAAGATAATCCAGCGATAAAGGGAACGAGGAGATAAAGTCCCTTATCAACTATTGGATCAAGAAGTAATCCGAGTCCCCAACCCAGTCTCCAGTCTCGACAATAATTTTATCCTGGACTTTCGGAGCAACAACTCATTCTGTCTCGCTCGTTGGCTTCGTGATCTTCTGTATTATCCTGGATCTCACGTACTGAATATTAAGCCACCGGAATAATAAATATATCTCTCTGTCATACAAACATATTTCGGATAAAATATTCATGACTTTGTTCACCTAGTTATTATGATAATATTTTTAAATAAAGTTTAATTAATAACACATAAGTTATTATATAGGTTTTTTTTAATTAATTTAATTAATAAAAAATTAACCAAGATCTTTTTCAATTTAATAAAGAAATATAATTTATAAATAAGATTAAATTTATTTAAACTAAGAGTAATTTTCAGTTAAAAAAATTTTTTTTACTGTTTAATTATAATTAATAATTTATCCATTGAATCTATATTACTAGAAGAATAAGAAAAATTTTATAGTTATATGGTACAACGACCTTGTATCTTGTGAAATATTGACATTTTTAAAGATATAAGCTCATTCCGATGTTATACTCATCGAGACCTTTCATTTGAGTACCCACATCAATTTTTCATATATTTTATATATTTATATATATTATATATATATATATATGTATATATATGACAAATATATAAAAAATGCATGTGGGTACTCAAATGAAAGCTTTTAAAGAGTGAAACATCAGGATGAGCTTATATCTTAAAAAATGTCAATTATTAAGAACTGACTCTGCTATCTTGTCAACTAATGAGATTTTTAAAGATATAAGCTCATCTCGATGTTACACTCATTGAGACCTTTCATTTGAATACCCACATCAATTTTTCATATATTTATATATATTTTATATATGCATATATGACAAATATATAAAAAATGCATGTGGGTACTCAAATGGAAGCTCTTGATGAGTATAACATCGGAATGAGCTTATATCTTTAAAAACGTCAATATTTAAAAAAGTACAGTGCAATTTTAAAGTCATTATTTAATAAAGCACAATTTTATTTATTTATAATTCACAAGTTACATAGTGACTGCAAGGTTGCTAGTTTAATATAATTATAAGATAATTTAATTATTTTTTTTTTTTACAAATTCTTCAAGCAAAAGATCCTGAAAAATCATACTGACATTTATTAATAATAAAATAAAAATATGAGAAGAAAGAAAGATTTGTTATTTTGCAGCATCTGACAGTTCTGACAAATGTGGATAAATTTTCAGATTCCAGAGAAGAAAAATGATGAGGAAGCAGCTGTACTCTCAGTGCAGCGGAGGCGAGCCGCAAATAATAGTAGAAGAGAGCACTCTAGGTGAAGAGGAAGCCGAGCGACGGAGAAATGAGTCTCCTCCACGCTGCTTAGACCCAGACTCGCCTTCACTAAACCCATATTTACTTTCGCCTTGGCGAGAAACCCGCAAGCACTCTCTCCCGACGCCACAATGCACCACGGGGATCACTGCGTCTCAGGTAACTCTCAAACTTCACCCTCAACTTTTATCATCTTCGCTTGCAATATTGTCAGTTTTTATTTCTTATCTTTTGAAATTTCAGGTGAGGCGTTTGAGCGAGCGAGGAGGTGAAGGTTCAGGACCCTCGCCGAGGGAGGCGGCTTTTTTGGCGACGCTGTCTCAAGCACCGGCTCCCCAACCGGGAGGCCGCAGGCACTCTGTCGTCACTATCTCCAAGGTCCCGCCGATGCTGTTTGGCCGGAATCGCCGAGAGTCTATCGCTGCGCTTCCTGGAGCGACGAGAATACTTCCTATCAGACGCGACTCGAGTTCTTCCGGAGTTGGAGGACCCCCAAGCAATTCTGGGAGCACTCATAATCTTCAGCTGGATATTATGGATGATATTGCGGAGATTAAAGCAAGAAAGGTAAAGTATCGGTAAGATTGCTTAATTTTTTTTATTTATTGCACGCCTTTTATTAGGCTGCTTGGACAATTCGAGTTGCTGAATTTATAGTTTATTATTATTGATAAAATTAATTAGATATTAATTTCTAAATAATATTTTTAATTATTATTATTTAGGTTTTTAGAGAGTTTTTTGATTTTTTGCAATTAAGATATGTAATTTTATTTATAAATATAATTAATTATATTTTTTTTAGTTTATATTTTAGCTAAAATTCTAAATTTTTTAAAAGTTTTATTTATTTTTTTACAATAAAAAATATTAAATTTTTATACATTAAAAAAAAATTTCGATTCACTCCATTGAAGTTTTAATTTTTTAAAGAATTGTTTGATATTTTTTTTTAAATGAAAATATGAAATTTGAAACATAAATAAAATTAATTATTGATTATTATCTTTGTTAATTTTTGTTGGATTAATTTGCTGGATTAAAATTTACTTTTTTGCAAAAAAACATAAAATTTATTTTTTAAATATAATTATTTTCTTTGCTAGTTTTAATTAAATCAAAATTTAAGTTTTTAAATTAATCTTTAACTATCTTTTCTTTTTGTATTGAATTTTCTTTAAATAATAAATTACATTTAATATAAAAATACAGTAATTTGAATTTCCAAGGATGTAAATACACAAATTTACTGCACAGCATTATTTTTATTAAATTATTTAGTAGATTATTGTCACTATCAATTTAATTGTAAGCTTTTTCACACTTTTCCACTCACTGAATTGTAAAATATCGATGAATTCGTGATAATACCCTGTTTGAAGTATTAAAATGTCATAGTCATTTTACAACTCAACTAATAAATTAAAAAGCTCATTGAAAAGTCAATATACATCGTAAAGTTACAACTTTATCGGAAAGTACAAAGTTTTTCCTTTATTTCCAGCAGTCAAATGAAATTCGGTAAATAACTACCTTGAGCCAAGAGGCCATTTTGATTTATTTTATATCAAGATTACTTGAGTTTTATTTGCCAATTATCATTTAATTGCTAATAAAGACAAACTTCTATAAAAGCTATGATTTCTTTTTTTTTTTTAGATAAAAAAAATCCTTTTAGAATTTTCAATTAATTAAAAACAGAAATAAACAAATATCTAATTAATTAATTAAAATAATAAATAATACTCTATATTATTCTATATCTCTAGACACATAATATTAAGGAATGACCTTGTATCTTGTGAACTATTGACATTTTTAAAGATATAAGCTCACTTCGACATTACACTCATCGAGACCTTTCATTTGAGTACCCACATTATTTTTTCATATATTTATATATATTGTATATACGTATATATATGAAAAATATATCAAAAATGCATGTGGGTACTCAAATGAAAGCTCTTGATGAGTATAACATCAGGATGAGCTTATACCTTAAAAAATGTCAATAATTAAAAATTGACTTTGTTATCTTGTCAACTAATGACATTTTTGAAGATATAAGCTCATCCCGATGTTACACTCATCGTGACCTTTCATTTGAGTACCCACATCAATTTTTCATATATTTTTATATATTTACATATATGTATATATGAAAAATATATCAAAAATGCATGTGGGTACTCAAATGAAAGCTCTTGATGAGTGTAACATCAAGATGAGCTTATATCTTTAAAAACATCAATATTTAAAAAAAAGTACAGTGCAATTTAACAAAAGTAATTATTTTATAAACAAAATTAAAAAAAAAAAATAAATTCAGGTACGCTTGAAAATGTGGAAGACCCCATCAAGAGAACGAGTGTGTGAAGTGCAGCCCTTGGAAGGTAACAGCTCGTCGCAGCGCTACACCCAGCAACAACGTCGTTTTTCGGACTTCAGTGCGATTTCCAGTTCAACCTCTACCTGCTCGCTCTCGGGGACAAACCAGGCGTCGACGTCTCGCAGAAGAGCTTCAGAGTTCCCGCGGTCTCTGATGTCAAGCACGTCGCCGGGGATAGTGTGCTCGAACACGGACCTGATCTCAATCCTGAGCTCGCTGACGTCCTCGGCAACGGAGATAAACCGGTGCGGAGAGGAGCGAGAGACCTCGAAGAGCCTGGAGCAGAAGCGCCGGCGCCTAAAGGACCACCGCTCGAACAGCTTCGACGTCTCGATCCTCCACGGGACCGTAAATAAGCAGTCGAGCGTGGAGAAAGCCTCGACGGAGCCTCCGCCCTCCAGCTGGTTCGCCAACCGGCACCAGCCCATGTGGAAGAAGCAGAAGAGCGTCGACGTTCCCTCCTCTTCCTCCTCCTCCTCCTCCGCTCTAAAGCTCGGCGTCATCAAAACCGTCAAGGAAACTCTCGCTAAATCCTCCCCGCCGAAGGAAACCCGGCACAAGGTCGTCTGGGACGACACCAGCGGCACCCGGGTCGACGCCCAAGTCCTCGGCTCCGCCATCGAGGAGTTCCTCACCTCCCAAACCTCCCAATCCTCTTCCTCCGGAAAGCCCGCGGTCTCTCCCGGAAAGCCCAAACCCGGAAAAGTCGCCAGCTGGTTCTCTGGAGGAAACAAGGAACCCGAAGCAGAAGCCTGCGAGCCTTCCATCTGCTCGTCCTTGAAGGATCTTTTTGTTAAATAAATTTTTTTTATTATTGTCTTTGCTGGACGAAGACCTGGATCGTTTTTTATTTCAAAGGAATATTTTATTTATTTAAAAGTCTATTTTAGTCGTCAGCAACTTATCTCATCAACGTTGATGTAAATGTATATTCTATGAAGGTTACGTAACTCGGTGATTGTATTATCTGTAGACCCACTGATAAAGATATCGTATTCAAGGACCACGTTTTATTGTATAGACAATCGATTAACAGATACCGGATATCTTAATCATGCAAGTGTTTTTTATTCATTTGGAGATTATTCTTGAGGACAGTAAAAACAGTAATCCTCACTGTTAATTAAAATATTAATAATGATAATTTTAAGATAGTTTTCAAAATTTTACTGGAAATGATGGATTACATCCAATAATTTTTAACTAAGAATTTTATTATCTGTAAAAATATTGTTCAAAATAACTAAAAATTCCTTTTTAATCCATTTTAAAAGCTGCTAAAATTAGAATTATAATTTTTTTGTGAACTTTCAACAAAATGGTGATGTATTCCGCCATTTTCAACAAAATTCTCAATTAAGAAATTTAAATATCTATTTTTATAGAAATTATTGTTCAAAATAAGTAAAAATTCTTTTTTATTGAGTTTTAAAGCTGTTAAAATTATAATTATAATTTTTTTGAAGATTTTCGACAAAATGGTGGATCAAGTCCGCCATTTTAAGTAAAATTCTTAATTAAGAAATTTAAATTTCTATTTTTATGGAAATGATTGTTCAAAATAAGTAAAATTCCTTTTTATTCAATCTACAAATTAGTAAAATTGTAATTGTAATTTTTTTTGCAAGTTTTCGACAAAATGGTGGATAAAATCCGCCATTTTGAGTAAAATTCTCAATTTAAAAAATTCAAATATCTATTTTTATAGAAATAGTTGTTAAAAATAACTAAAAGTTACTTTTTATTCCATTTAAAAGATAGTAAAATTATAATTACAATTTTTTTTTGTAAGTTTTAGACAAAATGGTGAATAAAATCCGCCATTTTGAACAAAATTTTCAATTAAAAAATTTAAATATCTATTTTTGTGAAAATAATTGTTAAAAATGACTAAAAATTTTAAAAGCTACTAAAATTATTATTATAATTTTTTTTGCGGATTTTCGACAAAATGATGGGTCAAAATCGCCATTTTGAACAAAATTCTCAACAGACTCTAATTATCAATTTCTGTAGAAATAATTGTTCACAATAACTAGAATTAATTTTATATGCAATCTTGAAGTTGGCAAGATTAAAATTATCTATTTTTTTCAAATCAATGATTTAATTAATTAATTAAAAAAAAAAAAAAAAAAAGTGAGAAGTTACCGTTGAAACTGGCCTTAGATACTTTTATTTTGTTATTAGATTACGTAACTATAAATAAGTAAACAGTGTTGATGTCCCAATAAAAAATACTCGTAATTGCATGATAAACCCCAGCTAATCATTGGTGATGTATATTAATGTCAATATTAATAATAATAAAAATGAAAATGAATATCTGTGAATGTTATACTGATGTAAATAGATTTGACACTATGTAACTGTTGATAAAGTGTGTCCTAGGCGATAAAGTTAAGTACGACATGTAAAGTAGTAATAATCGCAAAAAGGCTATTACCTAATATAAATTTTGATGTCACGTGTAATTGTAATAATAATGTCTGGCAATGAACGTAGACCTGGATTGGCTTAACACTTTGATGGGATAACGAGTAATATAATGGAAATTCATGCTTAATATAAATAAAAGGTAATTTAACGCTAGAGTTCCATCGCAGTCGCATTTTAATGCTGGATTAATTAATTTTAAATAATATAAATTTTATGTCTAATTAAATCTGTAATTGTTGTAAAATAAATCTTAAATGTTAAATAGCTGAAATCTATATAATTAAGAAATGACCTTGTATCTAGTCCAATATCAACATTTCTAAAGATATAAACTCATCCTGATGTTACACTCATTGAGACCTTTCATTTGAGTACCCACATCAATTTTTCATATATTTTATATATTTATATATATTACATATATGAATATATGAAAAATATATCAAAAATGCATGTGGGTACTCAAATGAAAGGTCTCGATGAGTGTAATATCGGGATGAGCTTATATCTTAAAAAATGTCAATTATTAAGAACTGACCTTGTATCTTGTAAAATATTGACATTTTTAAAGATATAAGCTCATCCTCGATGAGTGTAATATCGGGATGAGCTTATATCTTAAAAAATGTCAATTATTAAGAACTGACCTTGTATCTTGTAAAATATTGACATTTTTAAAGATATAAGCTCATCTTGATATTATACTCATCGAGACCTTTCATTTGAGTACCCACATCAATTTTTCATATATTTTGTATATTTATATATGAAAAATTGATGTGGGTACTCAAATGAAAGCTCTTGACGAGTGTAACATCAAGATGAGCTTATATTTTTAAAATTGTCAATATTTAAAAAAATACAGTGCAATTTAACTAAAGTCATTATTTAATAAAGCAAAATTTTAAATTATTTTATTAAATAAAAAAAAAATCAAAAGGTAAGTAAAGAGGCAAATTTATCTGAAAACAATTTTATTAAGTAGAAATAGGACGTCGATTGAATGTACACTCTTCGATCAATAAAACGGAATGATTTAACACTTAATATAATACATTATCAATCAAAATGTTTATTTTTTTTAATTATTGATTATGCAGAGAGTACAAAGAAGTTGTGTAAATGCCATATTGGTAAATAGTAATTGATAAAAAAAATTAGGTGAATAATAATAAAAGGAATAATATTTGTTGTAGAGTAACAGAATTGTAAATTTACAGAATAAGAAGAGCGATCAACCGAGCGGTCACAAAAGGTACCAATTAATAAGTCGTTATAAGTGTAATGTAACTTTAAAGGTATATTACTTGAAGATAAATGAAGAGAATCGAGTATAACTGCATCTTGGACAGAGAATCTAACACAAATGAGACCATAATTAGTTGTGAAAGCCAGATTAATAGCTTTTGTTATTTCTTCTTCTGTTTTTAATTTAATTTTTTTTATTTATTATTTAGATTTTATTGCGACGAGACCTTGCTCGAAGTACCGTGTCTGCGTAATTATTTTATTCACCATTTACATTATTGTTAATTTTATTAATTTAACTGAAGAGGCGAGATTATAGTTGCCATGGACCAATCATTGGAAGCTATTCGTATTGGATAATGTTTTACGTATGACAGGAAGTAGAAGAAAAAAGGTACTCAAAGTCTACATAATAGTGCAGTCATTACTGTATCTCGTCGTTTTACGTACGATTTACAGATCTACAATTGTCCGCAATCAGCGACGGTGATTTTCTTGGATGTCTTCCCGCTCTGTGAGCCCAAGGACTCCAGCTGTAACAATAATAAATTGTTTTATAGAAATTTATTATTAATTCTATTAAAAAAAAATTATATTTTTTAATTTTTATTTAAAAAATTTTGATTAAAAATTAGTTTAGATTTTTAATAATTTTTTTTTTGTTAAATTATGGCAAAAAAAATTTACAAGTATGAATTTAAAAAAAATAAAAAATTCAATTTTTTTGATATAAAAAAATAAAAAAATGGTCAATTAATTGCAAACTTTAAAGTAATAATAATAAAAAAATTTTCTGACTTGCGCGGCATAAAAAAAGTATGATAAATATAAAAAAATTTCAATTTAAAAAAATTACAAGTTTAAAATTTTTTTTTAATAAAAATAAAAAAAAAAAATTACTGATTTGAGTGACAAAAAAAATCATGACAAATATTAAAAAAAAGAATTTTTTTAATAATTAATTTGTAATAAAAATAAAAAAAAAAATTGTTTATTTGAGTAGGAGAAAAAAATGATAAAAATGAAGATAAAAAAAGATAACTCACCTTCTTAACAACGTCCATTCCCTCGATGACTTTGCCAAAGACCACATGCTTGCCATCAAGCCAACTGGTCTTGACACAGGTGACGAAGAACTGGCTGCCGTTGGTTCCAGGTCCAGCGTTGGCCATGGAGAGAATGCCAGGCTCGGTGTGCTTCAGAGTGAAGTTTTCGTCCTCGAATTTGTTGCCGTAGATGGACTTTCCACCAGTTCCGTTGTGGTTTGTGAAGTCTCCTCCTTGGCACATGAAATTCGGGATCACTCGGTGGAAGCTGCTGCCCTTGTAGCCGAACCCTTTCTCTCCTGTGCAGAGAGCACGGAAGTTCTCGGCTGTCTTGGGGACAACGTCGCTTCTTAACTAAAATCCACCATTAATTTGTTAATCAATACTCTCCTTTTAAATTCAAAAACCAACTCAATAAAGTGTCTAAGTAATTAAAAAAAATTGATATCACGCCACCGAGTTTTTTCATGACGAATGGAAAATTACACGCGGCATCACTTCCTCATAGTTATTTATAGCCCGAGAATTTTTTTTTTCAACATGCAGCAAATCCGGAACAAAATTAGACATTAATTTTTTTCATCATTTTCAGGGCAAGTTTTTTGTTGTAAAAAAAATTGTCAGGAAATAATTGACCAAAAAATAGCACACGTTAATTATAAGGTGAGATAGCAGAATGGATAATGGCGCCGGTGTGTGACTCAAGCCGGTTGCGCGTCGGTTTAGTCATTAGATGCATGCTCGGAAATATAATTAATAAATAAATAGAGTTTTAAATAAATAATAACTTACTTCCATAACAATTCTTCCGGCGGCCGAGCCGTCAACGGCCATGTCGAAGAAAACACGCGGTAAACCCATTTTTTTAACTTCTTTGGCGAAACTTTTAGCGAACTGGAAGAAAGACGGGTTACTCCGGCGGACGGTGGCTCCCAAATGGCTGAAACTGCCGAAGGTCGAATCAATCGACAACCGGTAGATCGATGCCAACGCCATTTTATATACACTCAGTGGGTGGAATTCTTACGAAATAAATTTTATTTCCTACAATTTATTTTTATCAATTATTAATGACAATTGTGGCTTTAAATACTATTGTCCGGTTTTTATTTTAGTTTTTATTGTTTGCCAGTAAATAACTCAGCCACGTGCTGGTTTTTATTGTAATTGCGTAACATTTACAACGCTGTTCAAAAAATATTCTTTTTTGGAGTTCAATGGACGTTAGTTGGTTAGTTCTCCGCCAGTTAAGACACAGACAACATTAGTCAACATTTCCGGTCACGGATGAGACAAGTATGTATAATACTAAAGTTAGCCAGCCGAGGTTTTTGACTAATTTATTAAATTAAAACTAAAAAATATTTTTTTAAAAATTGCACTTAAAGTTTTTAAAATTTTCTACAAATGAAATATTTTTTGCAATAAAAAAAAATTCTATAAATCTTTAGATGTCGGCTAACTTTTTCATCACTGAAGTTAGCAACAGGTGTCTAAAAATTTTTGATATTTTTAATTAATTAAATTACAACTAACAAAATATTTATAAAAAATTCCACTTATAGTTTTTCAAGTTTTTTACATGTGACAATTTTTTTATGAAAATATTTTATAATTTTTTTTTTTTAAATAAACTGTGGCAAGAAAATTAGAAAAAAAAAATTGACAGAAATTTAAAAAAATAAAAAATTCAATTTAAAAATGATTTTTTTTAACAAATTTGTTTGTTAAAAAAAATTAACACATTCTCTAGTGACTGCTTACTTTAATGTCATAATTTTTTTTTTTAATTGTCTAATTGTAAATTGTTCAATATGTAAAAAATTTTGAAATGTCGGCTTACTTCATTTTCATTCACTCCGGACGTGAGTTACGGAAATTAAGCGCGCGCAGCGCTTGAATTTTTTAGACTACTGCGCATGCGCGCGGAAATTTAAATTCTCAACAAATGACAGCTGGAATTTGCTAAAATTAATTACCTTTTCTTTACTAATAATTAATTGCAAGGAATTAAAAATAATTTGTGGAGTTTTTTAATATTTTTTTGTATTAATTACTCACTTTTTTTGATTTGTTAAATAAAAAACTTTTAATTAAAAAAAAGAACTTGAAAATTTATCAAAAAAGTGAATTTTTAATTTTTAACCTAAAAAAAAGTTATTAAAAATAATTTTACAAGTGAATAAATAAAATAAATAATTAATAAGTGAAATAATTGATAATTTGACTAGTGCAGTGTGAAAAAAATATGGCGGCCAAGTGAAGGACGCTGCTAGTACATCTGTATTAAAATTTATTTGGTTGTTATATTGTAATAATATTAAATAAAGTGAAATAATTAGACATTTAAACTACCTCATTAATTAAAAATGAGTAACATGTCACCGTTTGGTGGTGGAAAGAACCCACCTTGGGTCAGAAATGCTGGTAATTATTTAGTTGTACTTAAACTTTACATCATTACTGAAAAACTTGATTTATTATTATTATTATTATTATTATTTTTTTTTTTTATATTTAACCCATTAAATTGTATTCAACATGTATAGACATACATCTTCGTACTTGCTCGATGACATTGGTATTACGAAATTACAGTATATTTAATTATAAAATTGCTGAGAATATTTCCCATGGTTATTTAATTGCTGTCGCCTGATAAGGAGACTTGTTAAGAGGCTCCAATGCTATTAATATTTTTTTTCATTTAATTTACTCTGCACACTTGTTATAATTTTATTCATATTCGTATCAATAAATTACCGATGAATCATCGTGGTGATGTTTTATAAGATGACGTAATTTTTTATCAAATAATTTTGGAGCTATTTTTTTTTTTTAATGATTTTGATTATATATATATATTTTTTTTTTTTTTTTTTTACAGGCCAGGGAATTCAAAATATCCAGCAACAAATTATTGGCCAGGCGATGGGTGGGATGGGGGGACAACAAATGGTACAATATCAACAACAAACCCAGCAGGTTTATCAACAAAGTTTAGGTTTACAGCAGGTTAATAAACAAATTTATTTATTTTTATATTTTTAAGAATTTTATTTTTATTATTTAAATTAATTTAAAAATTTAAATAAAAAATAAACAAATTGTTTTATTAATTTTTCTTTATAAATATAAATTATATTAATTTTTTAAAAATTTATTTATTATTAATTTAATTGTTAGAAAAATTTTTAAACGTCTATTAAATTCAGTATCATCATTTATAAGCATTATTGATGAATAAAAAAAAATTTCTAGCCAAATATTACAATGGCTTCAATGGCCCAGTTAGGGTCAAACTTGCCGTCGAGTATTGCCAGTCAATTATACCCTCAAGTAGCAACAGTATCATATCCAACTCCTAGATCATTGAACACAAACGCGTTTCAACAATCAGTCACTGGAGTGTCTGCTCAGCAGGTCCAGCAAAATGTATCCTCTCCGTCTACAAAACAACGAGTTTTTACTGGAACAGTTACCAAAGTCCACGACAATTTTGGTTTCGTCGATGAAGATGTATTCTTCCAGACAAAGTAATTTAAATAGATACTTTTTTTTTTTTTTTTACCTGTACCTTGAAGCCGGGAACTATCGGCGTGGGTATTAATAGTAAATATAAATTACAGCGCATGTGTGAAGGGTTCAAACCCTGTGGTAGGCGATCGCGTGCTTGTAGAAGCTTCCTACAATCCATCGATGCCGTTCAAGTGGAATGCAACGCGAATTCAAGTACTGCCAATGGGTAATAGCAATAATAGTGCTGGTAATCAGCCGTCTGGACAGCAGATAAATCGCCAGCAGCAGCCAAGTAGACAATCTGGCGGGTATAATGCTGTGCCACCTCCTAATGACAATAGTAATAATAGGTAATTTTTTTTTTTTATTTAATAATTAGTTATATTCAAATTAAAAAACATTTTACAATTTTTTAAAATTTTTATTACAATTTAATCCTGAAAAAAATTTTTTTATAATATTTTTTTCTATTTAATTTGTTTTATTTTTAAATTAAAATAAAAAAAAAATATTTTTTTTTGTAATTAATTTTTAAAAATTTTAAATGTAAATTAAATTTTTTTTTTTTAATTATAATAAATATTTAATTCAAAATTTTTACAGTAGTAGATTTGTAAGTAATAATCCAACAAATAACCCTCCAAGTAATCGGAGCAAAGTTTCAAGAGTAAGAGAAAGATCTCTACCTCGAGATCGTCGTAACGACGATGAAGAAATTGAGCGGAAGCGTCGTCGAGAGGACAGAATCAGGGAGCGAGAAAAAAAAGAGGAACGTAGTCCATCTAGGGCACGCCGCAGCAAATCACCCCGACCACGTCGACGCACCCGAGTTGTACCGCGCTACATGGTACAGATACCAAAGATTGCACTTGATTTGTGAGTTATTTATTCATGTCCAGTATTTATATCGTTAGCTTGTAAATAATAGATTGCTGTACGCGACATTTATCATTTATTATCTCGACGATCTCTTTTATTGACGTTTTCATTTTTTTTTAAATGGGAATCTAGACCAGAAGCAGATGTACTGGAAGTCCGGCGCCGTTATCAAAATATGTACATTCCCAGTGATTTCTTCTCAACGAATTTCCGGTGGGTCGACGCCTTTCCACCTCACATGCCGTTTACGCTCAACAAACCTTGCACTTTTCATGTTATGCATAAAGATGTTGAGCCTTGTGTTGAAAACACTGCGGTTTTGGAGCCGCCTGATGCTGATTATCTTTTTTCTGCTAAAGTGAGTAATTTTTTTTATTTAATTTTTAATTATTATGTTAATGAAAAATTTTTAATTTTAACTAGCCACCTTGCAGTCACTATGTGACTTCCGTGACTTGTAAACTGTAAATAAATAAAATTTTGCTTTATTTAATAATGACTTTTGTTAAATTGCACTGTATTTTATTAAATATTGACGTTATTGAAGATATAAGCTCATCCTGATGTTACACTCATCAAGAGCTTTCATTTGAGTACCCACATGCATTTTTGATATATTTTTCATATATACATATATATAATATATACAAATATATGAAAAATTGATGTGGGTACTCAAATGAAAGGTCTCGATGAGTGTAACATCGGGATGAGCTAATATCTTCAAAAATGTCAATAGTTCACAAGATACAAGATCATTTCTTAATTATTGAATATATATAACATATATTTTAAGATATAAGCTCATCCCGATGTTACACTCATCAGAACCTTTAATTTGAGTACCCACATGCATTTTTAATATATTTTTCATATATACATATATATGATATATATAAATATATGAAAAATTGATGTGGGTATTCAAACGAAAGGTCCCGATGAGAATAACATGAAGATGAGCTTATACCTTAAAAAATGTCAATAGTTCACAAGATACAAGGTAATTTTTTAATTATGTATCTTGAGATAGAGCATTTTCACAAATTTAAATCAAGACCTTTGCAATGACACTAGATTTCAATAAAAAAAAAAATTAATAAACAATTTTAAATTTGAATTTTTTAGGTAATGTTAATTTCAATGCCCGCAATGGAAGAAATATACAAAAGATGTTTAACTGAAGACCGCGACCCGGACCGCGACTACGTTCATCCTACCCGACTAATAAACTTTCTCGTAGGCCTGCGAGGCAAAAACGAGACGATGGCGATCGGCGGGCCCTGGAGTCCTTCCTTGGACGGCCCAAACCCCGAGAAAGATCCCTCCGTCCTCATTAAGACCGCCGTCAGAACTTGCAAAGCGCTTACGGGCATAGATTTGTCTCACTGCACCCAATGGTAAGCCGACTAAATTAAACTAAAAAATTTTTTTTTATTTAAATTATTATTACCTCTAAAGAAAGTCTAAGTATACATTTATTTACAATTATTACTTTCACTTGCATACTAAGACAATGCACTAGTTTGTGTGCTCTTCATTAGCTGCCAGACTGACATTAGAAATTCACTTTGCTTATTTTTATTATTATTACAACATTTAGTTACAAAGTTAAAAAAATCAGAGTATTTTAATCTAAAAAAATTTTTTTGTATTTTATAAAGTGTCTAAAAAAAACAAATTTTATTCAAATAAAAATTGAAAAATTTTTCTGGATTAAAATACTCCAAATAAAATTATTAGACATCTGTTTAATTTTTTATTTAATTTGATAAATAAATTAATACAAAAAAAAATTTTTTTTGTATAAATTTATTTATTAAAAATAGTCAGAAGTCTATTTTTTTAATTAAAAAAAAAAAAAAATAAATAATAATAATAATAATAATAATAATAATAATAATAATAATGTAGCTGGAGTCTAAAAAAAATTACAAAAAAAAAAATGCAGGTACGTATTTTAAAGTAATAAAATAATTAATAAATAAATCCAGACGGCGAATGGTACACTGGACGAGAATCTACTAGATACTAAGTGAAAAATCAACTAGATGACAAATTAGAGGGTACCACCATCATTATAATTTAACTCTAACTCTAACTATTACTATTACTATTACTATTTAATTAGAGAATAATATTTATTTAAAAATTAATTTTTCTTACTGATAAATGGATAATTATAATTTATTATTGTTATTATTTTAACGTAACTGACTGTTGTTAAAAATGTTGCTTGATTGTTTAAGACATTGACTTGCTGTACGTGGCTTTGTCTGCAGTGCGTGGGCTTTCGAGCTCTTAAACTCTAATAAGTTGTTTAAAAAAAAGAATAAAATTGTTAGCCTTAAATTGTTGTTAATTCGGCGAGGCTAATAAAAACAAAATAAGCGGCTAGGCATTAACCAGAGCTGACGTTTCGATATTGTTTTTCCTTGCGGCACAGGTACCGCTTCCTGGAGCTCTACTACAGGCGCGCTGAGACGACCCACAAGTCTGGCCGAGTGGTGCCTAGTCGTGTTGAAACGGTGATACTATTTCTCCCAGATGTTTGGAGCTGTGTGCCTACCAAGCTGGAGTGGGATGGCCTGCATCTCAGCTATAAGAAACAACTGGAGCGTAAGCTGCTGCGTGGCGCATCTAGTCCCGACGATGCCATCCTCATGATCGATGCCACCAATGACGCCAATGATGAGGCTGCCGTCGCTGATCAAAAGGCACTGCCCACACCATCCCATATATTCTATTTCTATTTCTATTAATTATTACCATTTTTTATTTATTACTTTCTTCTTCTTTTATTTACTTTCATTTTTATCAATCAGTTACATTTACATCAGCATTGTCATCACTTTATTACTTTTAGATTTTATTTAAGCTGTTTTTCCTGCTGAAAAAATATTTTTTAATTGTTCTTCAATTATTAAAAGAAAAAAAAAATTTTTTTAATTAAAAAAAACTTGAAATTATTCTTAATTAAAAATTTTAATAAAAAAAATTAATTTTTTTTATTAAAAATTGTTTTTTAATGAAAAAAATTCAAATTTTTTTATTTAATAAAAAATTTGAACAAAAAAGTTTTTTTTTGATAAAAAAAAACCTTAAAATTTTTCTTAACTAAAATTTTAATTAAAAAATAATTTTTTAATGAAAATAATTAAAATTTTTTATTTAATTAAAAACTTTAAGGTGCAAAAAAATTTTTTTTTAATTTAAAAATTAAAAAAAAAAATTTTTTTTTCAATAAACGAACTTAAAATTTTTCTTAATCAAAAATTTAAATAATACAGATTTTTTTTTTAATTAAAAATTGTTTTTTAATGAAAAATATTGAAATATTTTATTTAATTAAAAATTTAAGTTAAAAAAAAATTTTTTTTCTAATTAAAAAAAATAATTGATGAACATTTAAACCCCTGGTGTAAAAATTGAGCACGAATTGAATTTAAATGCTCTGATAAATTAATTTCCAATGAAACTTCTATTAAAAGCCCTTTTTTTTCACTTATCATTTTTTTTTTCTCTGTACTCTGTCTGATAAGTTAACTATCGCAATCGATATTATAAATTTAAATATATAAAAATCCATACCAACACCGACACCAGAGCCAGGACACTATGAGAGTCATGGAGTGAGAGAAATAATATCAATAACTCAAGTCATTTAAGGGTCAACGTTTTAAATGCTGATCTCTATGTGTCTTAGAAGTGTTTTATGTGAGCGTGATAGCGGAGCAAGAATGATTGGGTTATAAGGGTTGCTTATGACTGTAGTTTTATTTTTTTACTCACGGTGAGTTTATTCATAAAACACTTACTCCTAATTTCTGTTTTCAGGATGACATCGCTACTGAGAAGAAAGATCCTACGCATTACTCTGAGCTGGATCCTAAGTCCATGAATGTGAGTCTATTTATTCATAAATTTATTTATCAAGAATAATTAATTAATTTTTTATTTTCAGGTTAATGAATTGCGCCAAGAATTGGCAGCGAGAAATTTAAACTCTAAAGGACTCAAGTCGCAATTACAGGCAAGACTTGTTAAGGCTGTTAAATCTGAACAGGCTAAAGAAGAAGGAAGGCAGGATGAAGTTGAAGAAGAGGAGGAAGTTGCTGCTTCTAAAGATGATATTAAAGAAATCAAGGAGATTAAGGATGGTAAAGAAATTAAGGATCCTAAAGAAGATAAAAAAAGCAAAGAGGTATTATTATTATTATTATTATTATTATTATTATTATTATTGGTTTTAGCAATTTAATTTTAATTTAATATCAATTATTTGAGTTTTTTATTTTATAGAAAATTTAAACGTAAAAAAATTTAGACGCAATATTAATTTTCAATTATTAATGTGGCCTATAAATTATAATTTTATATATTTTACACAATTATTATTTGACAATTTTAAATTATTAATTAATAATAAATGACTAATAATTATTTTAATATTATAATTTACAGTATGATGAAGACAAGAAAAAAAATATAGAACGTGAACGTGCATTATTGGAAAAACGTTATACATTACCAGAAGCCTCAAACATTATTGTCCATCCATCTAAGACAGCTAAGAGTGGTAAATTTGACTGCACTGTTATGTCACTTAGTGTTTTATTAGATTATCGTCCAGAGGATACTAAGGTACTAAAATCTATTAAATAAATAATTTCAACAATAAATAAATAATTTATTTATTTATTAATAAAATAATTAATTGAATTAATTTTTAGGAACATTCATTTGAAGTATCATTATTCGCTGAACTATTTAACGAAATGTTGATGCGAGATTACGGCTTCCGTATCTACCGAAGCCTGTGTAGTCTTCCGGAGAAGACCAAGGAGAAAGAGGAGGACAAGAAGAAGGATAAGAAGGACGATAAGCGTGATGACAAAAAAGATGATAAGGAAAAACGGAAAGATGATGAAAAGAAGAGTAGTAAGAAGGATGACAAAAAACGGGAGAATAGTAAAGACAAAAAGGATGATAAGGATGGTAAAGGTAAAAGCGATGATAAAGAACGAGACAAGGATGACGATGAAGAGTTCGAAGATGAAGAGACTGAGGTATATATATTTATTTTAATTAATTTTTTTAATAAATTCTTTATGTTAATGTTTTTTTATGTTAATTTTTAATATTACATTTTTATATTAAAAAAATTATTGAATAATAATAAATTTTTAATTTTAGGATGATGATAATTCAGTAAAAGACGGAAAACGTGATAAAGAAAAAGACTCAAAGAAGAAAAAAGTAAAATTGTATACATACGATCCATATTTATTGTTATCGTTTGTATACTTTGATCAGACGCACTGCGGTTATATTTTTGATAAAGATATTGAAGAACTTATTTACACACTGGGATTGAATTTATCTCGCGCTCAAGTTAGAAAGCTCGTCCAAAAAGTTGTCACGCGTGATTCTCTTCACTATCGCAAGCTCACTGACAAAGCTCGCGAGGAGGATTCAAAGGAGGCAAAGAAAGACGAAGACGGATTGGAGAAATCTGACGGGTCTGTCAAGGGCGACGAGGATGAAGAAACTCTTAAATCTCTAGCTCTAGGTAATAAAAAGTTACTGCCAGTATTCGTTGGCAGTGGACCACCGTCAAAGCGAGCTCGTCGTGAAAACAGCTCCGACTCCCAGAACACAGAGTCTGTACCCGAAGGCTTTGTTATGTTCAAGGGGTCGTTGCTGGATTTGGAGAAGTTGGTTAGTCAATTAAAGAGGTCAGAGAAGGCAAGATTAGAGACTGAAGCTCGCATGATGGAGATTCAGCACGATCTTAATGCTACTAATGAAAGACTGCACAAGCAGTCGAATACTATGAAGGATATTACGGATGATTTGAAAAATTATAAAGACAGGCTTCGGAGTACTGATGAAAAATTAAAGAAAACTTCGGTAAGAATTTTTTTAATTATCTAAATTTAATTAGTTAATTATTAATTAACAACCTTGCAATAAATAAATAAAATTTTGCTTAATTAAGTAATGAATTTTGTTAAATTGCACTGTACTTTCTTAAATATTGACAATTTTAAATATATAAGCTCATTCCGATAATATACTCATCAAGAGCTTTCATTTGAGTACCCACATGCATTTTCATATATTTTTCATGTCTTTATATATAATATATATATATATATAAATATATAAAATATATGAAAAATTGATGTGGATACTCAAATGAAAGGTCTCGACGAGTGTAACATCGGGATGAGCTTATATCTTTAAAAATGTCAACAGTTCACAAGATACAAGGCCATCTCTTAATTATTGACATTTTTGAAGATATAAGCTCATTCCAAAATTACAATCATCGAGATGAGCTTATATTCTTAAAAATGTCAATTTTTCACAAGAAAAAAATTAATTTATAATAATAAATAAATTAATCATATTTTCAGTCGGACTGTCACAGTTACTTGAGTGCATTAAAGAACGTGTACCACACGACAGCAAAAATAGTTCAACATCGGGATGAGCTTATATCTTTAAAAATGTCAACAGTTCACAAGAATACAAGGTCATTTCTTAATTATTGACACTTTCGAAAATATAAGCTCATCCTTAAGTTACACTCATTGAGAGCTTTCATTTGAGTACCCACATGCATTTTCATATATTTTTCATATATATAATATATAAATATATAAAATATATGAAAAATTGATGTGGGTACTCAAATGAAAGGTCTCGATGAGTATATCATCGAGATGAGCTTATATTCTTAAAAATGTCAATTTTTCACAAGAAAAAAATTAATTTATAATAATAAATAAATTAATCATATTTTCAGTCGGACTGTCACAGTTACTTGAGTGCATTAAAGAACGTGTACCACACGACAGCAAAAATAGTTCAAGGAGAGTCTAAAAAAGTGGAAATCGTAGAGATTCAAGATGAAAAAACTTCGGAGGTGAACGGGTCTCAGGACAGCAAATCCAAGAACGACTCCCGGTGGAGCGACAGCAAGAGCTCCATAAAAAAAGAGCCCGAGGACAAGGACAAAGACAAAGACAAAGACAAAGACAGTAGCAGCAGTAAGAAACACGAGAGCAAAAAGGAGTTAGGTATTAAAAAAGAAACGACTGATACTGATAAAGATAAAGATAAAAAAAATTAATAATAATAATTTATCACTTGTTTATTGTAATTGGTATTTTTTACTATTTATAAAGAATAATCAATTCTTTACACGAACTGTGTAGTAGTGCTTAGATGCACGTTTATCTGAAGAGCCGTCTTTGTCCCGATAATATTTTTAAGTATGAAAAAAAAATTGATAAAAAATGTGATCTTGTCTTTGAAAATTAATTATGTTTTATTCAAATAATTCAACATGCAATATGCAATTTGTAAAAAAATTGTTTAATTTAAATTGAATCATTTATTTGGATGTTTAAATGCTATTATTTAAATTTAATTAATTTCAGTGAATGTTTTATTAATTAATTAATAATAAATCGGGTTGAATTAAATAAGCACGTGTGGATACTAAAAAGTGTAATAAGCGTGGAAATAAATTTTATAAAATTTTCACAATTAATTAATTAAAATTTATACTTTCACCCTTGTTTCAAATCAATAGACGACGAAATTATTGTAATAGAAGTGTATAATTAATAAAAATTGATTAATTACTAATTTGATTTTTTTTTTAATTTATTTGATGAAAGTAGACAAGACTACAATTTATTTTAAGATTCAGGGAGTTTATTTATTTTATTTGTAAATACGGGCTTACAGATTTTATTTGGTTTTAAATATAAATCTCTTTTACCCAGTTCTGGGTAGATGTTGATACTGAAAATACATTTTTAAATGTAACATTTACTCAAGTAAATATTTATTTAGTAATTACATCAGATGGTAATTTAATAATTGTATTTTTTTTTAATGTTTTTTTATGAAAGTCAGGTAAAAGAGAAATGGAATGAGTAGAATAAATATTTTTTAACAATACTACGTAACCCGCTGTAGTCTTTTCAATAAATTCAATTAATCAATTAGTTTTTAGTCTTTTTAAATAATGTCTCTTTTTTTTATTAATTTTTTCAATTAATTATTTTTTATTAAACAATGACATTTGTTAAATTGCACTGTACTTTCTAAAATATTGACATTTTTAAAGATATAAGCTCACTCTGACATTATACTACTTTTTTAAATATTTAAGCTCATCCCGATGTTGCACTCATCAAGAGCTTTCATTTGAGTACCCACATGTATTTTCATATATTTTTCATATATACATATATATATATATATATATATATAAATATATGAAATATATGTAAAATTGATGTGGGTACTTAAATGAAAGGTCTTGATGAGTATAATGTCAGAGTGAGCTTATATCTTTAAAAATGTCAATAGTTTACAAGATATTTGTGAAATTGCATTGTACTTTCTAAAATATTGACATTTTTAAAGATATGAGCTCATTCCGGCGTTACACTCATCAAGAGCTTTCATTTGAGTACCCACATGCATTTTTGATATATTTTTCATATATACATATATATAAATATATGAAATATATGAAAAATTGATGTGGGTACTCAAATGAAAGGTCTCGGCGAGTGTAACATCGAAATGAGCTTATATATTTAAAAATGCCAATATTTCACAAGATACCAGGTCATTTCTTAATAATGTATCTAGAAATAGAGCCAAAAACCGATTTTATCATATAACTATCTTGGAAACAATATTTTTCTTCTTCTCTTAATAATCAAGATTTATAATTCTTTGTATTAATTTTTTTTTATCAATACAAAATTTTAAAAATTTTTACAAGAACAAATTATTAAAAAAAAAGAGACACTATTAAAAAAAGACTAAACTGACATTACATATTTAAATCTTATATAAATTTCTAATACAAAAAAGCCATTGAAGCTGATATTTGGCTTGCACTGATTATCATTATTATTATCATCATCATCATATTTTGTATCATCTCGTAGAAGATCGTTACATTTTTAATAAGTATCAAGTATAACGTACAAAATTTTTTTGACATAAAATTTTTATCGAGGTAAATTTTAGTTATTGATATCATATATTGTCAGAGCATATATTACAAATAAGGACGGGCTATTCTCATAAATTATTAATTAAATTAAGTAATATCTAACAAAAAATGCACAATAAAGCTCTGACGGAAAAAAACAAATAAATAAATAAATACAAGTGCTTTTTAGGCCATAATTCAAGTGTAGACATCAAAATACGTCGGAACAATAAAATCAGATCCTAATTAATAGTATATATACAAATAAATTTTAAATCAGCAGGATTTTCGAGCAATAAATAATTATTTTAATTTAATTTGTCCCTGTCATATTACTCTTATTAATTATATCTTTATAATTATAACCATTTCCAACTTATAATAAAAAATAATAATATTTACAAATATAATCTACAATGAATGACTGTTACGTTGATCACTTACTTAAGCTTTCGTTACAACGTACCTTTTTATTCGGTAACAAGACTAAATATTATCCGGAGAAAATTATTAACCGACTCGTCTTTTATTTAAGTAATTAACCATGAAGTCACAATTATTATCCGAGAATAAAAAAAAATGATTTTTAAATTAGCAGACATTGAACAATTTAAAAATTTTTTTTTTTAATTAATTAATTAAATTAGAACTAAAAAAATATTTCAAAAAATTGCATGAATTTTTTTTTTTAATTTTCTGCATCAGAAATTTAAAAGAATAAATTATTTTTTGATAAATTTTTTAATAAAAAAAATAAAATAATTAAAAAATTATCTCCGGGTGTTAAATTTAGTAATGTTACTTAATAAAATTTTTTTTAAATACTGTGGAGCAACTATTCAGTAGTTATTGCGCTGAAATAAATTTCAACCGCTTACTAACGAATTCACAAATATATATATAAACATTTCTTTTATATATACAAATTAAAAATAATCAGCAACTAAGAAGATAAAATTTACAAAATGAAAAATAAAATAATAATTTTATCTTTTCATGTCATGAAAAATATATATAAATATTTATATATGTATACTACATAAACAAGCATCAATTTTAATTACGCATTGTGCGCTCGATTTATGGAAATATTTTTGTCTGCCTCGTGACTCGCGGCGTCGGTTTTTTCAGCGCGGGTATGCATGATTTGGGTGCTTCAGACTTGTCTTTAGTGAATTCGTCGTCGATTATTTGGCTCGCGGAGTCACGGGGCTTGATTATTCTTCTCACTACAGAATTCGGTTGGATTTGAGATTTTTCTTTTTCTAGCTCAGCGACTCCGTTATTGTTTAGGTTGATAGAGTTCGTAATACTACTATTGCCATTAAGTAAACGATTTGATGGTTGAGTTTGTTCCTGGCGGGGCCTAATTGTTCGCGGGCGTTCAATCTTCCGATTAATTTTAGTGCTACTGCTACTCGTACCATTGCTGCTCATTTCTGCTATTGATAGCGGTCGCTGTGATGTATTTTGATTCCACGATTCACTCCAACTAAAAGAATTTTTAAAGTTTAAATTTGTATTAATATCATTTAAAAAATTTATTCAAAAAAGAAAAATTCATCAAAATTAAAAAAAAAAGTAATCAAAAAGAAAAATAAAAAAATTTGTTAAAAAAAAAAACTATCAAAATTTGTTAAAAATCAATTTTTATCCAATTAAAAAAAATCAATTTTTATCAAAAGTTTGTTAAAAATTCAATTTTATAAAAATTTGTTAAGAACCAAATTTTATCAAAATTTGTTAAAAATCCAATTTTATAAAAATTAAAAAAAATCCATTTTTATCAAAAATTAGTTAAAAAATAAATTTTATCAAAATTTATTAAAAAATCAAATTTTATCAAAATTATTTAAAAATCCAATTTTATCAAAATTTGTTAATAATCAAATTTTATAAAAGTTTCTTAAAAATCAAATTTTATGAAAATTTGCTAAAAATTAAAATTTATCAAAAATTGTTAAAAATCAAATTTTACCTAAATTGTCAAAAATCAAAATTTGTCAAAAAAATGTATAAAAAAAAAATCATTAACAAAAAAAATTAAATTATCGTCAATCAAATAATTAACACTCACCCCACACGGCTAAACGCAGCATGAAATATTATTTAAATGTGAATTTATTACATTCTTTTAAAAATTAATTACTCTAGCGTTAGATTATCACACTCATGCTTCTATTTTTTTTTTTTTTTAATTCAATTAAACAGGTACTTTATGTATGTACATATTATACAAAAATATAACCAATGAATATAATTTCCAAAATTATAAAATTAAAATATATAAAAACACTCCTCAGCATTAGAGCTAGAGGCGTGTAAAATTAGTCTCAAGTTAGTAGACCAAAGGTCACGTTTTTTTTCTCTCTGACGCATGCAATCTATTGTTATATTGTTAATAATAAATAATTATTATCGTTAATTATATAATTAAATAATTAAAAGGCACTAGAGATACTCTGAAGAAGGAAATAAACGAAAATTAACCAAATAAGCGTAAATAATGATATTAAATGCACACAAAAGTAAATATCCCATTAATAAATCACATGGACTGACGCACTCTACCTTCCCGATCCTGAAGCTGTTTATTCGAACGCATCAGACAGCACCAGGGCAGCAATAAAAATTTATTCACATACTTTTTTAGACACTAATTTATGAATTAAATGATTATGATTGACATTTAATGGTTCTATTTTAATAAATTACCTAACGAGAGGCCCCATGCCATTGTCTTGCGGAAATCCTTGCAATAATGATGGTCCTGCTGATATCGGACGAATCTTTGGGGTGAAAAATAAATTTATTAGATTAAATAGATTTATTGATTGAAGGGTAAAATGGGTCTAGCGAACCTTTTCAGTCTGAGTAGCAGCGTTAGACATGTCTTTCGTGGAACTACCATACGAAACACTGCTATTTTGAGAGTCCACGCTGTTTATCAAGTCCTGCTGCTTAGCGACTTGCAGCTGCAAATTTTGTATCGCTCTGTCCTTATCTTCTAATTGTCCTTGGAGGAATATTACTTGTCTACGTAAGTCAGTCAATTCGTCGGCAATATTTAGTGCTCCGTTTGATAATAAGCCGCTTGAATCGGTGCTGTCTTCATTCAGGTTGTGGAAGAGACCATTCTGTTAAACAAATTTCTATTAATTTACTAACAAGTGAACTATAAATAAATCAAATTTTACTTTATTAAGTAATGACTTTTGTTAAATTGCACTGTACTTTCTTAAATATTGACGTTTTTAAAGATATAAGCTAATCCTGACGTTACACTCTTCAAGAGCTTTCATTTGAGTACCCACATAAAATTTTCATATATCTATACATATATATATATAATATATATAAATATATAAAATATATGAAAAATTGATGTGGGTACTCTTATGAAAGGTCTTGATGAGCATAATACAGAGATGAGCTTATATCTTTAAAAATGTCAATAGTTTACAAGATACAAGGTCATTTCTTAATTATTGACATTTTTAAAGATATAAGCTCATCTTGATGTTACTCTCTTCAAGAGCTTTCATTTAAGTACCCACATGCATTTTTATATATTTTTCATATATTTATATATATATAATATATATATAAATATATAAAATATATGAAAAATTGATGCGGGTACTCAAATGAAAGGTCTCGATGAGTGTAATATCAGGATAAGCTTATATCTTTAAAAATGTCAATAGTTAACACGATGGCCAAGTCAATTCTTAATTATTGACATTTTTTAAGATACAAGCTCATCTTGATGTTACTCTCGTCAAGAGCTTTCATTTGAATACCCACATCAAATTTTGATATATTTTTTATATATACATATATATAATACATATAAATGTATAAAATATATGAAAAATTGATGTGGGTACTCAAATGAAAGGTCTCGATTAGTGTAACATCGGGATGAGCTTATATCTTTAAAAATGTCAATAGTTCATAAGATACGTCATTTCTTAATTATGTATTAATAATTTAACATATTAAAAAAAAAAACTTACCACCGAAGTGTTGAATGGATTGAGAGTATCCGCCTAAAAAAAAATATTAAAAATTAATATCCAGTAAAATTACCAAACAATAGACATGTAAAGCACAAAGTGAAAAAAAAAAAAAAAAAAAAACAAAACAAAATAAAACGTACCCTCGTCAAATCTTTCTCTTCAGACTTGATTGATTACCAAGAAGACAAACACAAAAAACAAATAAAAATTGACGTTAACCAAATAAAAAATTGTCAGTAACAAAAACAAAAATGGAGATTAATGCGGTGCAAAAAACACTGATTTAATTTCAATAAATATTAAATACCTCCTGAATGATGCGCATGAGTTTCAATAACCCGGTCTTGATGTAAACGATGTCTTGCTGGTAATTACATCGCTCTAGCCTGGGGCTTCCTTCGTCGCCAGAGTCAAGACTCGGGGATTGACCCTGTCAAATTTATTATTCGTAATTACATTCTATTTTAATAAAAATGATATAAATAATTATAAAGCGACTTACGTTAGCTGTTAACACCGGCCTGAAAGGACTGGGAACCTGTCGTGTTCTTACGCTGTCCAAAGAACGGGGTGAGTCGGTGCCAGTTCTGCTGCGCAACAGCCTAGAAGTTCTTGCACTTCCGATTCTGGATCAAAAAAAATCATTCCATTATTTTATCATCAATAAAATTGTAATTAATCATTCGAAATACAATTTAGCATAGACAAATATTTATATTAATGCACATTTGATAAATAATAATTGTCAATTTATCGGTACAGGCTGATGTAAGGATCAAATAAAAATAAGCGTTTAATTTGAACAGACCTTGGGTCAACTTTGCCCCGATTAGCGGCTGATAAAGTCGCTATTAATTTTGAGTGTCTTGGAGGCGGGGACCCACCGGTCGGCGTCGTGCTCTCGGATGACAATCCGGAATCTTTTCCCTCGGCATTATCGCTTATTTGCAAGTTATTTAGGTCAACTGTGGTTCTATTTACCACCCCGGGATTCGCAGACACTTTAACCCGCGGAATCAACGTTACACGTCTCTTGGCGCCTTTATCTTCTGGATTAGAGGCCATCGCTTGATTTTATTTATTTTATTCACTTTATTATCATGCTTGGAAAATCTTTAGACAGTTTTTTAATTTTTTATTAACTAATTAATTCATTTTTTTTTTTTTAATTAAATTATAACTAGAAAAATATTTTTAATAATTTCACTTATAATTTTTCTTTTATGGAAAATTTTTTAAAATAATTTATTCACTAAGAAAAATTAATTAAAAACTTTTTACAATTTTTAATTAATTAATTATGGAAAAAAAAGATTTTTAAAAATTTAACTTATAATTTTTTTCTACTTTTAGAATTTTTAATAAAAAAGTAAAAAATTTATTTTTTATCATTTATTTTTAATAAAAATTATTCAATAAATTTTCACAATTTTTATTTAATTAATTATTAGTAAAATATATTTTTAAAAATTCAATTTATTATTTTTTTTTTAATTTGAATATTTAGAAATAATTAAATAATTTTTAATTAATTAATTAATTATGAATAAAAAATTTTTAAAGTTATTTTTTTTAAATAAAATTTTATTTACAATTGAAAAACTGTCAGATAAATAAAAATAGACAATTAGAACAGCACGAAGTTTAAAGAGAGTGAGACTGAAGATAACTGAATAGAAAAAGAGGCCGTTTTAAGGCTGGAGCTGACTCATCTCAATCCCACACTATACTGTGTCCGATACATTAAATAAAATAAAACGGTCTCTCAATCTAAATAGCTCCTCCAATCATTAAACACTTATATTAATTTGGAACATAATAATAAGTCTAAGTGGGGATTAAACAATCTGAAACTCTTTCAGTAACTAGTTGTAATCTTAGACTTGCGCGTCGGCACAAATTACAGTCCCCAAAGTCAAGGTCTCATCAGTGAATAGTTTAACTCTCCTTCCTTGTAATTATTAATAACTCTTTTTATTTCTAAACTACGCATTGCGTCAAACGCGATCTTTACTCCGGTCCGGTAGTTGTTATTTATTTATAAGGTAGACACCACACATCACAATTTATGATAGTAACGTGTGAAATGATGGATTGTGTAGTTATTGGGGGAAGGATAATGATTTTAAATTTTATACTGAGACTGACGAGAGAAAACTGCGGAGCTGCACCTGGAAAGACGGAAAATCGCTCGCGTGAATTTTCGCGCAAGCGCTTACAGACTTCTCAGGACGCTCGATATTCTCTACTCCAGAGCTCTAGGGAAAATATATGACACCGTTTTTTCGATAGCTAATGAAATATTTAATGGAATTAATTTTTTAATTATTCTTAGGAAGAAATTTTGGGAATTTGGATTGACATTTTAGGAAATAAAAAGTAATTAATTTTTTATTTTTAAAGATATAAAAAATTTCTCTAGATACATAATTAAGAAATGACCTTGTATCTCCTGAACTATTGACATTTTTAAATATATAAGCTCATCCCAATGTTACACTCATCAAGACCTTTCATTTGAGTACCCACATCAATTTTTCATATATTTTATATATTCATATATATTACATATATGTATATATGATAAATATATCAAAAATGCATGTGGGTATTCAAATAAAAGCTCTTGATGAGTGTAATATCAAGATGAGTTTATATCTTAAAAAATGTCAATAATTAAGAAATGACCTTGTATCTTGTGAACAAGTGACATTTTTAAATATATAAGCTCATCCCGATGTTACACTCATCGAGACCTTTCATTTGAGTACCCATATCAATTTTTCATATATTTCATATATATTACATATATGTATATATGAGAAATATATCAAAAATATATGTGGGTACTCAAATGAAAGCTCTTGATGAGTGTAACATCGGGATGAGCTTATTTCTTTAAAAATGTCAATATTTTAGAAATTGCAGTGCAACTTAACAAAAGTCATTACTTAATAAAGCAAAATTTTATTTATTTATTGTTCACAATTCACTGCAAGGTTGCTATAGTTATTATTAATTTTTTTTTAAGTTTAAAATTCAAAACTAAATTACATTATAAATTTTTCTTAAAAAAAAAAAAACATAATTTTTAAACTGAAAATATAAATTGCAGTATCAAATTTCTGTAAGCAACCTTGACTTTGAACAATGGTGCAGTGCAGCCCTATAAAAAATGAACAGACACCAGATACCGCAGCCTCAAAAAATAAAAAAAATCAATTTAAAATAAAAACAATAAAAAGCGACTACTAAAATAAAATAACTAAAAAAATTAATGGTGATGTATCCTGTTGGTATCCCGGCAACCGGCAACCAGCAACTCACTCGATTTAGTGCCAAAAAGTCTAGTCACGCTATTATGCAAATTTATTATAGTACTACGTTACATTACAGCGACGATAGTCACCGCGATAGCATTTGCATTAAAAAATCCCCGGTTAACCGCGAGGTTGCTCTTAGTTATACATATTACATTAATATTATGTACACAGTCCATCGGAATATCAGAAATCATCAAAGTAAAAATAAAAAACTAAAATGATAGCTCGGTCGTCGGATTGTTTTACAAACGCACGCGATACCGCATCGTCCTTGTCTCAGCAATAAAAAAATAAGAAAAGATTGCAATTACGAGTATGTAAGCCAGTAATTAAGGTCATCGACCGCTTCTTACTTAAATTCTTATTATTTATTAATAAATAATAACGCTGCATTATTAATTTTAATTTTTGAGGAAATAATTCAACTTTTAATCAAATAAAATAAAATAAAATTGAATTGAATTGAATCAAAATAATAATTGGAAGGTTGAAATAAAAATAAGGAAGGATTGAGTAAAAGAAAGCAAATGCCGCAACCGGACAAAGAAAATTAAAGTTGGTACACTGGCCAACTAGTGACGCTCTAATTACCAACAAAATTACTCGGATTAGAATAATATTTTCCCAATCATGTAACAATGTAAAAAGGTTTTTTTTTTCTTCCTTGAACATTGGTAATAACCGCCGGAGTTTTTATTTTTTTATATTTATGTAACTTGTATTGAGTGAAGAGTTCAGTTCTCGAGTCTTTGTCTTGACTTGGTGCTATAGCTATAAGCGTAAATGTCATCGACCTGGTGATTATCCGCAAAAAACGCCTTGGAGTCCATGGTACCGCACTAATTTGACCTCAATTACTTAAGCACAACTAAACACTGGATCCTAAAAAATGCTGACACTACTTATTGTTAGTGACTCATATTTTGATCGGGTTTTTATTTTTGTTTGGTTCTATTTAACATTAAATAACCGCTACGCTAGCAGAGAGCTTAGAGCATACCAGCAGGTGTCTGACACAAAAAACAAGGCCTTGTATTAAGGTTTTATTTCATGGTAATTTTTATTTATAAACCAAAAACTAACTACATTTAATTATGGATCATGCTAAGCATGAATGATTTTTTTTTTTTTTAATTATTTAGGGTGGTAATTTTTATTTTTTTCTACTGCCATGCTATTAGTACTAGAAGCCGTGTCCGAAGCTATACTGTTAATTAATGATTGTTTTTTGATAAGAATTTTATTTTAATTTTTCTATTTATTTTTTAATTAATTAATTAAAATTTCTCTAATTAAATTTTAATTTTTATTAAAAATAATAAAAGTTTTATTTTAATTTAAAATTATTTATTAAAAAAAACAAAAAAATGGTCAATTTTATAAAAATTAAGTTAGCTAACATTTAAAAATTTTTTTTTAATTAAGAAAATTGAAAAAAAAATGAAGTTTAAATTTTAATCAATATTTTTTATTCCAATTTAAGGTAAAAGACCTAGTTATTTGACACTTGCAATTTTATTCTAAAAAAAATTTAATTTTTTTTTTAACAAACAATTTTCTTAAAATTTATAACTCCAAAATTATATTTATTAATTGATTTTTTTTTATTTAAAATAAAATTACAAGTGTCAATAACTGGATCTTTTACCTTAATAAATGAAAAAAAAATTTTTAAAGTCAGCTAACTTTATTATTATGTCAACTTTATAATTCTTATAATTATTCTTCAATTAAAATTAAAAACATTCACAACCATGCTCAAAAAAAATTTCACAGTGCGCAAGCGATGATTTTTAAAATATATAATAATAATAATAATAATTAATTATAAAAATAAAATAACAAAAATTTGTGAGTAATGTAATGAGTACGTCGAATAATCTTCGGACACGTTCCAAATACATCAATTTGGTATAGACGTATATAAATATCCATAAATATATAATATAATATAAATATAAATATTGATAAGGAAGGGAAGATGCAGATATTTTCGATTATTTACCCATTGGCTGGAGTTACGAGTTTAGATCCTGAATTCTGGACAGCTGGTTCCTTCATTGTGGTCTTGACTTTTCTGTCCTCAATAACTTTACTCATAAGTCTTATTGTTCTTTTACCCTCGTAAATTATTAATATTCGGCAAGACTTTTTTTCATTTAATAATTAATAATTAATATTGTCACTGCGGGCGCGAATGCATCACAAACAATAAATTTATTTCACTCAAGTGTGTTCACTTTTAAGTCACCAAGTACGTATAATTTTCTCAGGCACAACTCTTTACTTACTGTTACTGTTTTTATCATTATTATTATTACTATTACTTAGTAAAATTCTAACTTATTGTTCTTTTGGTAAATAAATTATTTTTTCCGCCCGCAGATTTAAATTAAATTTCCCCTTTTTTATTTTTAAATATTCACAATAATTACTCGCTAAAAATTTTTTTTAATTATTTTTTACGTATATTAATTGAGGAACTAATTATTCTATTAAACGAGGTATTGGTTATATATTTTAATGGAAGATACAATAATAATAATGAATATTAAAAATATAAGAAACTACAACCCGTAGAAAATGATTTTAAAAATAATTATCTAAGATGATTAACGCTAATTAGATTATTAAACGTTACTATAACAACAACTTGATATGAAATTGGAAAAATATTGACTCTTATCTAATGTAAGTTAAAGTACCGACCGACTAATTTTTGCAGTAAAAATAATTTGTGCAAACCCGGAAACTTTTACAAACTTTAATCGGTGAGAATTGGAAGAATACTTCTAATATAATTAAAGAATAATTAAGTGTAATTGGAATGGCACTGTATTGGGCGGACAGAAGAGACTTGTCCTTCGAGCCCTCGCACGGCACTAGCACCTGGAGTATTAGTGGTTAGTCATCGAGGGAGGGCTGGTGAGTGTTTGCTAGTTAGGATAAGTCAGTTGATAGTAGTCCCCACCCGTAGCCTCCTCATCCTCGATTTGCAATTGCTTCACTCGCTTAATAAGTGCACTAGAACACAAAACAACTACCTCTCAGTCACCGGATTATCATTCAATCATTTTTAGATTTGTTTTTTTTTATGCTGAGGGGCTCTAGCATCTTAGCCCATGACCACGACGAATTTTTACAAAACCCCAAGCTAAGTTTTATTTTATTTGGTGAGTTTTTTTAGATGAAGACCATGCTGCGGTTTAATGACAATTGCGACATGCAAAAATAAGCAGGATTTTTTTTTGAAGGGAATTATTAATTAGGAATTTTAAGCGTATTTTAATTATTAATAGTAGATGATTGAAAATTTTTTATAATTAAAATTTTCTTTAATAAATTTAATTTAAAAGAATTTTTTCAACAAATTTTATTAAAAAAATTTTGTTTTAATTTAATTTTAAAAATTTTTTAAAACGAATTTAATTAAAAAAATATTGTTTTAATTTAATTAAGAAATATTTTTTAAATAAATTCAATTAAAAATACTTTTTAAATGAATTTAATTTTAAAAAATTTATTTAAATTAAATTAAAACAAAAATTTTAATAAATTTGATTTTCAAAATATTTTAAAATGGATTTAATTAAAAAAATTGTGTTTTAATTTAATTAAAGAATATTTTTTAAATAAATTAAATTAAAGAATACTTTTTAAATGAATTTAATTTAAAAAAATTTATTTAAATTAAATTAAAACAAAAATTTCAATTAATTTAATTTTTTAAAACGAATTTAATTAAAAAAATGTTGTTTTATTTTAATTAAAAAATGTTTTTTAAATGAATTTAATTTTAAAAATTTTATTTCAATTTAATTAAAACAAAAATTTTAATAAATTTAATTTTCAAATTTTTTGAAACTAATTTAATTAAAAAAAATTATGTTTTAATTCAATTAAAAAATATTTTTTAATGAATTTAATTGAAAATCCTTTTTAATAAATTTAATTAAAAAATCTTTAATTTTTGACCAATAAAATTACTTTAAAAAAAATTTTTCAAGCATCTATCTCAATAATAATTACAATTAATAAAAAAAATGAAACCAGCCATTTGACTTTAAAAACTTGATACTCTAATTAGCGTAATTGAACGCCGGTGTCTGAATAATTAAAACAATAGCTTAGACGCGGTTGCAACTGGAGTAGCAAAAAATTTTCAAAGTTTTAAAAAAAATATTCAATTAAAACTTAAGTAAGTAAGTCTGGTAGGAGTTTTTTGTTTTAAGCACTTGGTATGCAATATCAACGAGATTTATATGAATGCTGTACGAGGGAGTTGAATAAAGTGAATAAAATGAATAAAGTGAATACCCATGAACTGGAGATCGATTGGTACAGTACTAACGCTATTATACTCGGAGGAAGCTGTTACACTAACTTCTTTAGCAAGCGAATGAACCGCGACGCCCCTTTATTATTACTCGCGATAAAACGACAATAATAATAATAAATTAGTAACATATAGTAATAAAAAGCAGATAAAGATTGAGTGGAGAGCCAGACTGCAATGCCGCGATATCTCCGACTACGAGCTACGAAGTCTGACGGCGAGCTGAGCACTAAAGTCAGTCTAAGCGTGGTGTCTGAAAATATACCAGCACTTATATATATATATATACAGACAAGAGTACAGGCGGTGGGTTCGATCGCACCGTTGGTCGTTGGTGTACGTTCGCGTCAACCACCGGCTGCGCAAACCGTTCAATAGCTTTTAGTAGTATTAGTACTGCTGCAAGAAGGGAGAGCTAGAGTATTATTGTACCTGCATGTAAGTATATACCTATACTATGTATCTATACTGACTATACAGCAATGTGTAATAGTAATTATCATTACAGGTAGTCAGCTACATAGACAGTATGCTAGTACGCATCATATTGTAAATTGTGGATTGTGGAGTAATATCCTTCCTCGTGCTCCATAACACTTTCTACAGGCTAAGGATCCATTTACTATTTATTATTACTTTTATTTAAACTCATTGTTTTTATTTATTTAATGATTTATCGTGGATTAATGTGAGTCATACCGCGAATGTGTCAATGAGACACGAGCCATTGGGTATATATCACTCAGAATGATTCTATTCATACGATGATTCAATACATCTTTGTTTATGTTTAGTTTTTTTTTTAATTATTATTAGTGATAAAAAAAATTTTTTTTTAATTTATTATTATTCATTAAAATAATTCAAGCTTATAATTTAGTTTAAAAAATAGGGAATTAATTTATATTATTAAGAGAATAAGAAAAATTTTGTTTCAAGGATAGTAATATGATAAAATCGGTTTTTTTTTAATGAAATGCTCTATCTCTAGATACATAATTAAAAAATTACCTTGTATCTCGTGAACTATTGACATTTTTAAAGATATAAGCTCATCCCGATGTTACACTCAGCAAGACCTTTCATTTGAGTACCCACATCAATTTTTTATATATTTTATATATTTATATATGATAAATATATGAAAATTTGATGTGGGTACTCAAATGAAAGCTCTTAATGAGTGTAACATCGGGATGAGCTGATATCTTAAAAATTGTTATTAATTAAGAAATGACCTTGTATCTCGTGAACTATTGACATTTTTAAAGATACAAGCTCATCCTGATGTTACACTCATCGAGACCTTTCATTTGAGTACCCACATCAATTTTTCATATATTTATATATGTATATATGAAAAATATATAAAAAATGCATGTGGGTACCCAAATGAAATATTTTGATATTGTATTAAGTTAAAAAAGTACAGTACAATTCAACAAAATTCATTATTTAATAAAACAAAATTTTATTTATAGTTCTCAAGTCATGGCAGTCACATAATGACTGTAAGGTTGCTAGTTTATGAATTAATTATAAAAATATTGATATTATTTAAAACTATTTATTTAAAAAATTATTATAAATAATTATAAAAAAATGTTTATTTTGAATAAATTATACTATTGAAATTTAATTAAATTATAATCTTATAACTTGATAAGAAAAGTTAAATAGAAATTAGAACTTGTTATGAATTGCTTTTCAATTAAAAGTTTTGATATAAAATATAAATAACAAGTAGATATAAATTTTCTTATCGATTTTTTACACAAATAATTTTATTAAAATAAATATTTAGCTTAGAAAGTTAAAGTAAAGTAATAATAAACTTGAATTATTTAAAGAAATTTAAAGAGCTGGTAATATTTTTAAGGATAATAATAATAAAATACTAAAGAAGTATTCATTAACTGTATTGATGTAGAATGAGTGTAAAGCTTCTACTGGTATATAAGTTTCTTAGAAACTCAATGACTTAGAATATATAATAAATATGTAAAGTTTATAGAATTAGTCGATGACCTGGATCTGCAGTCGGCTGCTTTTATTGAAGTCGGAACGAGCGGCTTAATAAGAATAACAAACGACACTTCTATCAAGGAAAATAATTCTGTAGTATAACGCAATAATAATAACAATAACGATTGTTATTATAATATATGCGGGATATTGACTAGAGGACAACATAAAGCTAACATATAAGCTTATTTACAAATTTAAAAAAAGGCTAAGCGTTTAAATCATCTATGCTTATATTATGATCCATGGCTTGTCCGAATAATTAATTTGATCAATTTTTTTTTTATATAATTGCTAATTAAGAAACAAATTTTTGAAAAGTCATGGACCACAATTGCTTGGAGAAAAAAAATACATACCCAGATTCGGAGATTTGCTGGTTGATGTTGGTGTTGTTGCTGGGGACCAAGTTGTTGTTGGTCAAATTTGAGTTTGAAATTTGGGGATGAGTCCCCAGGAGTGACGACCACTCTCTCATCACTTCCTCGCCCTGGGCCTCGAGCTCCGAGAGGATTGTCGCGTCGTCCATTTCGTGGATCGCTGGACTTGATTCAAATCTAAAGATTTTTTTTATTTAATTAATGGTCAATATATTTTTTTTTTTATTGATTATTTAAAAATTAATGTATTGAATGTCGTTAAAATTTTTAAAGGTTTGTTAATTTTAGATTTATGTTTAAAATTTATTTACCTTCGATGAGGTTCATCAAAAGAGCTGGTTTCACTACGTTCATAGTCCAGCATTAAATCATCAGAAGTTATTGATTCACAGGGTGACAGAGTGTCAACACTTCCAGTTCTGCTGATTCTTCGGCAATTTAGTGGACTGTTTTCAATGTGTTTTCCTTGTACTGAATCTGAAAAATTTTTAAAATAAAATTTATTAATTAATTTTAGAATTGTACAATTTGAAAGAAAAATGATATAACTTATGAAAATTAATTTTTGAATAAAAATTTTAATTTTTCATTGAAAAATTTATACTAATTAGCAACCTTGCAGTCACTATGTCACTAACCTGGCTTGTGAACTATAAATAAATAAAATTTTGCTTTATTAAATAATGACTTTTGTTAAATTGCATTGTACTTTTTTAAATATTGACATTTTTAAAGATATAAGCTTATCTCGATGTTACACTCATCAAGAGCTTTCATTTGATTACCCACATGCATTTTGATATATTTTTCATATATTCATATATATAAATATATAAAATATATGAAAAATTGATGTGGGTACTCAAATAAAAGGTCTCGATGAGTGTAACATCGAGATGAGCTTATATCTATAAAAATATCAATAATTAAGAAATTATGTTGTATCTTGTTACCTAATGATGTTATTGATGATATAAGCTCATCTTAATGTTACACTCATTGAGACCTTTTATTTGAGTACCCACATGATTTTTTTTATATATTTCATATATTTTACATATATGACATTTATGGAATATATAAAATATATGAAAAATTGATGTGGGTACTCAAATGAAAGGTCTCGATGAGTGTAAAGTCGGGTTGAGCTTATATCTTCAAAAATGTCAATATTTTACAAGATACAAGGTCATTTCTTAATTATGTATCTAGAGATAGAGCAAAAAAACCGATTTTATCATACGACTATTCTGAACACAAAATTTATCTTATTCTCTTAATAATATAGATGATTTAATATACTAATTTTTAACTGAAAAATTAATTTTAATAATTAAATATATTAATTTTCTATAAAAAAAAAATAAAATCCAATCCATTATTTACAACTAAAATAAATTTCAACCATTACAAACTTACTCGTCTTATTAACAGGTTCCATCAAAGTATTGCTACTGTCGGTAACTTGTCGACTAACTCTCCCAGAAAGATTTTCTTGCGCAACCCTGGTAGTATCATCAAAAATCAACCCAGGCTGATCCGCAATTTCATCATCAAAGTACTCCCTGCCCTCAGACAAACTAAGCGAATTAGAAGCGTTAGTCGGAGTTCCCGGCGAATCATCCTCAACATTCCCGATCACCTTATCCGGAATCTTTTCCCTTTTAGAAGCTTGTCCATCCGACTGAGTGATACTCGCCGTAAGGCTGTCCACCAAACTATCAACCGGGGAGGTCTCATCATCAATAAGAGTAGTAGAAGAAGCTGCAGCCGCCGCGAAGGCGGGATCTTCAATAGTGAGCATCACCGAGCGCAGAGAATTCTTTTGCACATTCAAGCCCGCAACTTGAGTAGCAGCCACAGCATTAACCCGCTGGTTGTTGAGACGCTGATTAGCGCGACACTCGTCACTGGAGCTGAAGGAGTACTCATCAGCCATGGCCTCGCCGTGGCCGTACTCTGGGTCGTCTGAGCTAGGTGGACTGAAGTCGGATTTAATCGAGGGGACTTTCTCAGAGCGAGAGCGATCTTTAAAAACCTTTTCTTCACCCAGTCCCTCGTCGTACCCTTCAGAAGAAGTTGTTGACATCGAGGTGATGGACTCTGTAGTGCAGTACCTGTATATTTTTAATAATTATTAAATTCTATTTTTTTTTTTAAATTGATATATTTAATTATTAAAATTTATTTTTCAACAAAAAATTATTAGCTTATTAAATTCAATTTTTTAATAAAAATATTTTTAATAATTGTTAAATTTATTTTTTTAAATTAATGAAAAATATTTTTAATAGCTATTAAATTTTTTTTTTGATAGAAAATTAATTTATTAAATTATTTAAATTAATTAATAAATAAAAAATTATAATTAACTTATTAAATTAAATTTTTTGATAAAAAAAATTTTTAATAATTATTGAATTCAATTTTTTTAATAAAAAATTATAATTAGTTTATTAAATTCAATTTTTTGATTAAAAAACATTTTTAATAATTATTGAATTTAATTTTTTAAGAAAAATATTTTTAATAATTATTAAATTCTATTTTTTTTTAAATTAATACCTGTTGTCCTTGTTATTAGCTATCCTCTGGTGGAACTGGCTGGTCCGTTCTCTTACTAGCCCCGTGCTGAGGTTCACACTAGCGAACGCCTTTGGTAAAGGAATCACCGAGATTTCGGTGACTGTGTTGTCATCATCGACGTCTCTCACATCAAAGCTCTTTCCATTAACGACCATCCTTAAATTTCTGGGCCTGACCTGGATCCTCCTCACCGAGGATGCTCCAGGGTTGACATCCAGCATGGACATCTCGTGATCTATAAGATACCCAGGCTGACATCCACTCCCGATCCCAGAATCCTCAGTCCCGGACCCGGACTGCGAGCCCGCGGAGCTTTTAGAAGCTGTCGAGACCTTTCTGTTTTGATTAGCGACTGTCTTGGCGATCTTGGAGTTCGCGTCGGTCACTCTAACCGCGTACTGAGGCAACGGAAGGTGGCTGGTATGCAGAGTGTACTTGCTAACCGGTTCTGGAATGTTATTAGCATTGGTACTGGTCACCCTGGGTATGCGGTTAGTCTCAGTCAAGTTGCTCGGGACTGAGTTGTAAGCCGGAGGGTTATTCACTGGAGAGGGCCGAAGCTTTGGAGGAGGCTGGCTGGTTCTTGAACGCTCTTGTTTTTGTTGTTGTTGTTGTTGTTGCTGTTGTTGTTGTTGGTGATGAGGAGATTTTTCCTGGTTGAAGTGACTGGCGCTGTGGCTGGCGCAGTCCGCGACTTTGTCGGTGTACCTGCCGGGCTGAGGCTGCCGGAACCCGAACCGGTTCATCCTGACATTGCCGACGATCTCTTTTTTCGGAGGCGCGAGGCGCGGTGTTGAGCGACCTGACGAGGCGCTCTGGACTCGCTGGTGGCGGTCATCCTCGTCCAGTCGTCTTCGCACCTGCTCCGGGCCCAGGGATTTGGAGCGAGGTGGCAGGTCTTCCTCGTAGCTTTTTATCGGCTGGTGGTGCCCGTCTCCGCGGGACCGACGCCGGAAGCCGAAGGATATCGCGGTGCCTCGTGTTTGTGGCGCGCCTCTCTTCGAAGCGACTTTGCTGTCGTCCTGAAAGATATTTTAGTTTAGTATTGATTTTTTTTTGTTAATAAATTTTGTCTTGATATAGATAAGGGTAATTTAATTGATACTGAAAGTAACATAGTTTTGATTTTTTAAATAAATAAAATTTTGGTTTATTATATAATGACTTTTGTTAAATTGCACTGTAATTTCTTAAATATTGATGTTTTTTAAGATATAAGCTCATCCTGATGTTACACTCATCAAGAGCTTTCATTTGAATACCCACATGCATTTTTATATATTTTTCATATATACATATATATATAAATATATGAAAAGTGCATGTGGGTACTCAAATGAAAGGTCTTGATGAATGTAACATCGAGATGAGCTTATGTCTTTAAAAATGTCATTAGTTGACAAGATATCAAAGTCAGTTCTTAATTATTGACATTTTTAAAGATATAAGCTCATACCGATGTTAGATTCATCGAGAGCTTCCATTTAAGTACCAACATGGCATTTTTTATGTATTTTATATATATGGTATTTGTGAAATATATAAATATATAAAATATATGAAAAATTGATGTGGGTACTCAAATGAAAGGTCTCGATGAGTGTAACATCGGGATGAGCTTATATCTTTAAAAATGTCAATAGTTCAATGAATATTAATGATAATGATTATTAATGAAAAAAATTTCAGAAAATTTAACTTTTTAAAATTATTATTTTTGAAATAAATTATTATAACAAAATTTCACTCTTAAAAATAATTATTTTATTTCTAATTTACCTTTTAAATAAAACCACTTATAAAAATATCATTAATTAAAGAAAAAAAGGAATTCCGACCCACCCAAGTCCGTCAGACCACCACTCTAATTAACTTCACTCCAATAAAATTCCCTAAAACACAGAAAATTAAACAAGACAAACAAACTAAAACGGAGCAACGAATGGAGCTCGAAATTGAGGAACGAGAGTGAAACAATTTTTGTATAAACCCAAAGTGTCTTGTGTCTAGAAGCGAATTCTATTTCGAGTGCGGGTCCCATGCCAGTTACAAGCTCCACATGACAGTATAGTCTGTCAGCACACTCTAAAAACATATTACGACTAGTAAGTCCGAGTTGTGACTCACGATAATAATATTATTAACATCGGCCTATTAAACGTACTAATAAGCAATAAGTTCCGTGTTTATTCAACTGAACCTCTCTATGAATGACATAAGCCATAAAAATAATAAATACTAAGTAAAAATTGCATAAATATAAATACAGACTGTCACCGGTGGTAAATAATATTAAATAATCCTTACCGAAGTGAAATAGAAATTGGTGGCGCAATCTTTATCGTTCTCCATATCATTGTCCTCTTTATAGCGGAATCCATGTCGATAATCCATGTCTCTGGCAAGAACTAACTGCCTAGCCAAGATATGATGGATGACGAGTTGGCAAACACTTTATTTTATAAACTCAAAATTACATTGACGACTCAATTAATTCTTCGTCTCCCCATCGCTTTATTTTTTCCCTACCACGGCTAAAAAAATTTTTTTTCAGCTTACGAGCCTACTTGCTACGGAAATTTCGCTTCCAAGAACGTAATTGCTGGATGATTATCGAGTTACAATTAAAATTACTATTCCCAAGGCCTGAGGATTTAGCAATCTCAACAGAACGGTCTTATCGCGGATTCACAGTGGCGTAGAACACTCGGAGTAGCTCTTTCTGGTGATCACATCTTCGTTGACGATTTTGATCAGTTACGACGATGATAACAGCAATTATGACGGTCTTCCTCCAAGAAGACGAGAGAATATTTAAAAATGCGCCTCTAGACCCGAGGTTCGTCGCGGTTACGCACATCAACGGATAACCCTCGCCAGTCGACGGATAAAAAGAGTCAAGTAGAGGATCGATCGGAGCTAACGCGCCGGCGTCGCGACGCCAGTGCGCGAACGCGAGCTCAGGATTTTATTGCTATCGTTCGGCAAATAAAACCACTGAATCCATTATTATGAAAAAAAATAATAATAAAATTTGCTATCAATCTAATCGCTATCATTTATCCTCATTTATTATTCATATTTAGATTAAGATTGTCATTTTTTGCCAGAGTTTCGGCTCGTTTCTTGAGTAGCTATTTACTGGGTGGCTTAATGCTATTTAAATGTCAAGTTTAATCATTTTTAGAAGAACAATGAGGTAATCTTGTAAAATGATTAGATCAATGAAAATGAGAATGCAAGGCTTCGATGTTAAACAAGTGTCTTTAAGACGTCATATCATACAGGAGTTTTTATATTAAAAATCGTGACAGTCTTCTTTACTTAAATTAGAAACATTTTCTTTTTTTTTTTTAGAAATTACGTAATTTTAAAATTGATAAGACCTTTTTGATATTTATTATTAATTTTTTAATTTATAATTATGAATTTAAGTTTTTTATGAAATGTAGAGTATTATTACAAAACTTTTGAATAGATTCTTTAAAATATACTATTTTAATAATAATAATTTGTATCTTTTATTATTATTATTGTTATATTTTAAAAAATAATTTATTATTTTTTATTATTATTAATTTATTGCATTAAACAATTATATACATGTTTTTAGCAAGGATTTTAAAAAATAATAAATTGACGTCAAAGTTTAAATTTTTATGAAATTTTTGTAAAATTAATGACCATATTCTCTAAAACAAATTCTTTTCATTAAATTGATTAGTAATAATGATAATAATTTAATTTCAAGGGCAGAATAATGGAAATTTTTATTTAAATAAATAAAAATATTTAATTAATAAAATTTGTTTAAATCTTATAGTTTTTTTAAAAAAAAAATTTATAATATAATTTTTTTATCTTTTAATTTGAAAATAATTAAGAAAATATGTGTTATTATTATTATTATTATTATATTTTAAATAATAATTGATTGAATTTAAAGTTTAAATTTTTATGAAATTTAAATTATTATTGTAAAAGTAATGATCATGTTCTCTAAAACAAACCATTTTTATTAAATTACTATTAATAAAAATAATAATAAATAATTTTCAAGGTCATAATCATGGAAATTTTTATTCAAATAAATAAAAGTATTTAATTAATTAATATTTTAATAAAATTTATTTAAATTTTATAAAGTTTTTTTAAGAAAAAAAATTCATTATGTAATTTTTTGATTTTTAAATTTGAAAATAATTAAAAAAATATATATTATTATCAATATTATTATATTTTTACACGGAAAGAAAAAAAATTACATTATAAATAGTAAAAAGCGTCGCTTCGTAAGAAAAAACTATAAAAATTGCAGTTTGGAATAAAATTTTTCAAAATTCAAACTTTGAATGTTAATTTTCAGAGTTTTCAATATAATATTTGCATTTTACAATGTAATTCTTACAAAATCTGTAATAATTACAAACTACAGTGAAACTGTAATTTTTCCCGTTTTTTATCCGGAGCGCTGTTACATTATATAATATAAAAATTTTTTTTTCCTTGTAATTTTTGTGCCTACACGGCATTCTTGATAGCCAATCAATAAAAAAAAGATACTGACAAAGACAGGAGTGGTACATTGAGTAGAGGATCAATTAAACTTGGAGAGAAGAAAAGACCGAAAATAAAAATTAAGCCAATACAAGTAAAGGGGGAGTAAGTTGATGGAACTAAAGAAGGAGATGACTCACGTGGTCCGGCCGGCGCCACCGGAAAAAGAATCGATACCAGAACGGAGAACTGCGCCATCGTGACGCCTAAGACACCATTTACGTTACGGTTCTGCGCTCTCACCTGACTCTGCTATCACGTATAACATAGAATGTATAGAATATAATCGATATAGTGCAGGTTACTCTGCCCTCTGAATCGTGTTCGACCTTTACCTTTCATCTCCTTCCCCGATCCTCCAGACACCGTCTCTCTCCAGTTAACTCTCTCCCAACTTTAATTCCAGCTGTAAATTTCGTTGTCGCTCAATTTATGGGCAATCACAGCACAGGTTAATGTCAGCCTCTAGTTTCTGCGGTATCCGCATTGCGAAATTCACTACCTGGTGTCAGAATGCCGGGAGTTTAATTAATTGAGCTGAGCAGTTTGTTTTTTCAGGGCAAAAATTCTAAATCGAAGGAATAACGGAAGGAGGATGAGCTAAGACAGGAAAACGCAAGAAAGCGAGTCTAGTATTTTTTTAGAGCTATAATTAACTCTTAATTACCCAATTGCAATATATATTGTAATTAATTTTTATGCATAACCATGTAATGTTTATATTAGCTTTAAACGAAATATTTGTATTTATTTGGATTGTCATGCACTTTCTATTCTTAATATTTATTTTTATTTTTATTCTTGTACACTCACTTTAGTGTAAACTATTTTTATCCCAGTTGTTGTGCTTCCGGTGAAAGAGCATCACACCCGCGAACACATAAATAAATTAAAATAAAGTACCATCCGCATACAACTCTGATGAATAAAAAGAGGTGGGTTTTACAAAGACAGTTAACATTTACGGATTTACATATGGCCTGAATACTGGATATCTAGAAAGTCATTTACGGATTGATACTCATCGCTTCTTGATAAATTATCATACTTGTGATATTTAGAAGAATTGTAAAAGGCTAAATGATGATTTAAGACCCAGTGATTAAAATTAATAGGATTTTAGCGTCAAATTTTTTTTAATTATTTTATTATTAAATATCTTCTTAAGAATTCTTGGAAATATTTATAAATTTTAATCTGAGAGAAAATATTTTGCATTAAGAAAAATATTCTATAGAAATATGTTTTTTAAATTAAAATAAAAATTTTAGAATTAAAATTAAAAAATTAAAATTGAAATTAATATAATAAAGAAATGACCTTGTATCTTGTGAACTATTGACATTTTTAAAGATATAACTTCATCCCGATGTTATACTCATCGAGACCTTTCATTTGAGTACCCACATCAATTTTCATATATTTCATATATTTATATATATATTACATATATGTATATATGAAAAATATATAAAAAATGCATGTGGGTACTTAAATGAAAGCTCTTGATGAGTGTAACATCAGGATGAGCTTATATCTTTAAAAACGTCAATATTTAAGAAATTACAGTGCAATTTTACAAAATTCATTATTTAATAAAGCAAAATGACTGTAAGGTTAATAGTCATTAAATAATTATTATTATCAACTTAAAAAAAAATTTTTTTTTAATTCTAAAACTCAAAAATGAAAAAATTACATTATGAATTTTAATAATTATAATAATAATATCATATTATAACAATATAACATAATATACTCTCCCACACAATAATAATTACTATTTTCATTCTAATAATAATAATTAAAGCCATTAGATATAGTTTTTACTTATAATCGCGGCTTTCTCGATTCAATGTACAAGTGTTCCACACTTGTGCTGCTAAAAAATTCAATTTCGTTTGGTTTATTATCTCTTAATAAATATATAGCTGAGTCGTGTGAAAACATAAAATTTATTAGTTGTAAATAATAAAATAAATGAAACGTCGGTTTTGATTCGAGAATTGAAATGTCTTTGGAGTAGTTCTTGGTTTTAGCACTAACAGTTTGCTTTATATTTATCCACACTAGTAAATCTAAAAGGAATTTTAGTTAGCAATTGAGAGAGGAAGAGCTTGTGAACTCTAAAGAGCGTGGGAGATTGACTGTGTGTATTCCAAGCAATTTAAGTACTCGTACTTACATTAATACTCGGGGTACTATACGTGGTATATGCGGGTTAAGTACGAGTACGAGGGCCTTTGCTTACACGTATGCCAGTGAGAAAAATGAAATTTCTCCTTGAGATTCCCCGAGAGGTCTTACTCCTGTGAACCGTTATGTACAAGGTACACAATGTACAATACAATACAGGAGAGAGGCTTTGCGATAGGATCGTACATAAGCGTATATACGGATATTTTAAATACGTTCCGCTTCGAACAGAACGTATGGTATTGCATGCCTCCTTATCCTGTAATAGCTTTGCTTACATTCGTACTACCTAAATATCAGCCTCACAGTTAACTACTACACCAAATATATTCTGTTTTGATTCAACTTTGCCTGGCTCTTTCTTCATCACGTACTTGGACTCTAACTCATACGGAATAGAATTTAATAGAAGTAAAATGAAAGGCAAAGGTGACGGATCATCGCATGTGCCTACATTCATTTTCGTATTCGGCTTGTTTGTTGGTTCAAGTTCAGATCTTGGTTCATTGTCCTTTGGAATAGGGCCTTCGGTTTAGTCAACGTTTAATTATCTACTTTCTTCTAGTCACTTTATATTAATTGCACTATTTTTATTTATCTTTATTTATAAATGAAGAATGATGAAAAAATTTACTTGATTCATAAGGAGAAATTTTTAATTAAGAAAATCTTTGATGAAAAATTTTTTTTAATTAAAAATTAGTTTTTGGATAAATAATGACTCTTGTTAAATTTCACTGTACTTTCTTAAATATTGACATTTTTAAAAATATAAGCTCAGTCCGATGTTACACTCATCAAAAGCTTTCATTTGAGTTCCCACATGCATTTTTGATATATTTTTCATATATACATATATATAATATATATAAATATATAAAATATATGAAAAATTAATGTGGGTACTCAAATGAAAGGTCTCAATGAGTGTAACATCGCAATGAGTTTATATCTTCAAAAATATCATTATTTGACAAGATACAAGGTAATTTATTAATTAAGTATCTAAAGATAGAGCAATTTCGAATGCATCAGCCTAAATAATAATAACTTTATTATTATAGTAGTAGTAGTGTGTTGATACGCAATTAACGCTTGAATTAACTCGGATCTCGAGTATCGGTACGGATAGCTTAGTAGATGCCCATACCATGACAAACGCTTGGGCGATCACGCGATAAGGAATTCATTATCCACACCAGTAAGATTATGCAGATCATTAAGACTCGCTTACAATTATTCCTTATTAATTATAATGATTTTTTAATTCTGTTCCAAGCTGATTACCGATTTTATAGTCATAAATAAAAATTATTTCTTCAAGTTTCTTGTATACAATACAAGTAAAGTACTAATGGGATAAGAGAAGAGAATGAGATCGCAAATGAGAAATCGGCGATTGCTGATGCTCTTGAAAGCAGGTCACTTATCTGTCCATACGAGATTGGAGCAAGGTACAGCACCAATTTACTCGGTGATTGTCTCGATCGGAAGCAGTAAACAGCGAGATGTTATTTTTTGTCCTCAGTCGCGTTGAAAGGCAGTACAGAGCACAGAGCAAAATCTCGGTGTACTTTCGATTGTCGATCGAGATCATTAATGCAAATGATAAATAATATATGCATGAGAATGTAGTTTATATTATAGGCTGAACTCCCACAGATCGACATTCCAGAATTGTGCTGGTGTGGCTCAATGCTTTAACTTAATATCCTCAGTATCACTTTCAATATCTTTGAGATGAGATAAATTGAATTGAAAGCATGACTGACGTTTCATGATATTACAAGAAAAAAAATAGCTAGATAAATAGTTTTATTATTTTTTTTTTTTAATTGTTTTTTGTTCTTGAGTTTTATAAGACTGATATATAATACGCAATATCATCTTCAGTTTCATCCATTTATGATCCAACAAAGAGCGGCATTAATTAAATTCCATTGAGCGAGCAAACCGTGAATCACGCGACTAGTTACGTCTAAAAATATTTAAATAAAAGAAAAAAACAAGAGGAAGTTACTATTAATAAATAAGGAATGGAATTTAACAATTATATTAATTAAACCCTAGATTTATCATCCTAGACAAGACAATAATTAAACTGTCGAGTGTCAACATCTGAAAACAATCTTATAACTCGACAAACATTATTACACTGTATTATAATTTATAATATACTGTGTAACTTTGTGAGTACTATACGGATAGGAGTACCAACCCAGAGCCTTATTGTATTATCTTTACACACAGGAATACATAAGTCGTCAGGCAAGTAAAAGGTCGACGCACTCGCACTATTTGTATGACTATAGCTTCCTCGTTCCGGATTTCAAAATTTTTTTTACCCCTATCCCTTATTTTTATCAAGATAAACTTCATTATTTTCCTACAATTGCAATTTTAGGTAATTATTTACAAGTGGGGTCTACCATTTTAATTTTCATTTTTTTGAACGAAATTTTTAATTGATTTTATAGATATATATTTTTTTTTTGAAAAATACATAAATAAATGAACAATTAAAAAAAAATTTTTATTTTGTTTTTTTATCTACTTTTCAAAAAAAAAATGTATCAAAAAAAGATAAAATATAAATTTTAACCAAAAACATAAGAGCCAAAATTTTTTCCAATTTTCGACGGCAAAAACTACTACATTTTTTATTATAATTACGCCGTAAAAACAAGCAGTAAAAAAAATTAAAAAATTCTAATTTTTCACTTATTTGGATTGATCCCATTTGTAAACAATTACCAATTTTTTTTGTACCCTTATTTCTGATTTTTATCAAGACAAACTTCATTATTTTTCTAACTTGCAATTTTATTATTGTTATAGATAATTAAGGTAAAAAATTTACCTGATTCTTGGCGGGCTTGTCCATGATTCGGTACGACGATGCTGCGATAACAGCGCCCGCCTTACGAGACACGCATTGCCCCATATAGACCACTCAGCTTTTCTGCACCACCTGTCAATTATTTAATAAATTAGCGAGAATAATAAATAAATTAATTAATTAATGTTAATTCTAACTACGCCCGATGTAATTACCATCACCAGTAAAACACCTCCGCAATTGATATTTTTATTTAAAAATAGAACAAAAATAAGTTGCGTAAAAATCAATAAGCCGATTTGTTTTTTATTTATATTAAAATTAAATTACGTCACAGCAGTGCTTAGAGTAATTGAATTTTTTAAATAAACAGATAAAAAGTAAACAAAGATTAGAGATAACTGATTGTATCTTCAACGGTTGGTAGTTTTCTTGTATTTAAAGTTAGCAAGGTTGTAATTATAGAAAATTAATTTGTTAATTGAAAAGTGAATGAAGAATTGTTTTCAGAGAATCAAGAGTCACAGGGTGTTAAATTGTAGGAGCTTTGACCAAATGAAACAACAATTGAGTACGGATAAGAGTAATTTATACGCTTTCCCGAGTATGTGCAATAGAAAAAACAAAAGTTTTATAATAAAATGAATAAAAGGTAAATTATGTATGTGTAATGATAGAGATGATAAATGGTAGTTAATTAAGCGTAAGAGTATGCATGACTGATGTGTGTATTAGGTGAGACAAGAGAAAGTCATACAAAGACTGTTGACAGTTTTTTTTAATCTTCTGACAATCGTGTAATGGGTTTACTCTATTTGTTGTTATATATTGTCAATAATAAATTGCTCTTTTTTTTTTTATACTAAAGTTTGCTGACAGCTGGCAATTTTTTTTATAATTTAATTGTTATAAATTTATTAAAAAAAATTTCTCTGTCAATTTTAGTTTTTTTTTTTTTTTTTTTTTTTTTTTTTTTTTTTTTTTTTTTAAAATTAGTATTAATATGTCCATTTATCCCAATAAAATACTTATTTTTATTTTAATGATGACTTTTATTGTCTCTTGTATGGAATTTACTCACAAAAATGATAATCGACGGCCTTGAGTGCCAAGTTTTATGTACCGATTTCTTAAAACCGCTGAAAAAAATAAATTGTTCATTCCAAAAAATTTTATATGAACTTGCAATACAAAATAAAGAAATAATAATAATAATGATACTGAAATTAGCAGACATTTGACAATTCTTTATAATAATAAAGTTAGCCGACATTTTTAATTTTTTGATTTTGCTTCATTTATTAAATTACAACTAAATGTTTTTTTAAAATTGCACTCACAGTTTTTTAAATTTTCTACATGTCAAATTTTTTATGATAGTAAAGTTAGCTGTCATTTGACCATTTTTTAATTTTATTTAACAAAAAGTTTTGTTCCAAAAAATTATTTTTAAAAAATTGCATTTTTAATTTATTAAAATTTCTAAATGTCCATTTTTTTTATGCAGTAATTTATTTATTAGATAAATTATCAAAATTATAAAATGCTAAATTTTTTTTTAATTGTTTGAAATTGACATAATTTTTAAAAAATTTCTATATATAAAATTTTTTTCGGTATAATTTAATTGTTTTAAAAATTAAAAAATTGTTAAGTATCTGTTAAATTCAATATCAAATAATAATAAATAAATAAATAAATGATAAGACAAAGTAGCTGGCGATGTCATTAATCGATGAATAAACGGTGGTAAGTTCATCGGCAGGATGTTGGAAAAAAAAAAGTACATACCTTTTCTTACAGAGCTAATTTTTTTGGGCAGCTCACGGGGATTCGGTGGATACATTATAAAACCGTGATTAAACAGTTAAATTTGACAGCGTACACAAAGCCTGAGCATCGCACACGTATTTTTTAATTAAACTGTCTGTATTGTTCTAAGTATTGATAGTCCTGCTGCACTAACACTTGTCTTGTTTTATTTTTCTTTATTTTATTGTTCTGTCTATAGCTTTTGCACGAAGTTTGAGTACGACTTGTACCGAGCGCTGTGTGTACCACCTGTCATTCGAATATATTCGATAGGATAGAACATGCGTCGTGACGTCACCCCACCATGCCGAGGCCACGAAAGAGCCCGAAGATTCGGGCGGTCACGGAAACTCGCGATTGAGACTCGGGTGGAGATTCTCAGTTTTAAGTTTTAAGTTGCGACATCTGACGTTTGAAATCTGAAAAACAATTTTAATTATTTTAAACTGTATTTTTTAATTAATTTTAATTATTCATGCTATTTTTTTTTTTAATTTAATTAATTAATAAAAATTATGAATTTTAAATAAGTTGAATTTTGGCGCGCTTATCGACTGGCGGTAAAATGCGCAAACTATTTATAAAAGTGACAAAAAAAAAATGTTTAAATACATTTCTGACATTTAAATTATTAGAAAAAAAAATTCACATGTGAAAATTAATTAAATTTATAAGTGAAAATTATTAAAGTATTTTTTTATTGTAATTAATTAATTATAAAAATTTTTAAAACTAAACAGCTGACAGCTAACTTTAGTATTATGAAAAGTTTTACTTAATTTGTAAATAAATAAATTAATTTTTTTGGAGTAAATAATTATTTTTTTTTGTAACTAAGGATTGAAATTAATTAAGAGTGGAATTAATTACAATTCAATAGATAATTGTTGAAAGTTGATATTTTAAAGTTTCAGAAGTCGCTGATGTGTAATTCTTAGAAAAGTTGACATATGGTGAGTGAGAAAATTTTTTTAATGGAAATATGGAGAAAATGGTAGATTGGAGTGAGTAATTTGATACATTTACCAAATGAGGAGTTGTAGGAAAAATAATTTAAAGATAGATTGTCATTAACGCCAGCTAGCAATTAACCTAAAAGTACTATTTATTGAAGTCTAGTAGATAAATAAATAAAATTAGTTAAGTTGTTTAGTGAGTGAGGTTAAAACAAACAAAATGGTAAGAATGAATTGAGTCATTAAATTTAAATGAAGTTTTCGAAGTAATTTAATTTATTTAATTGTCTTACAGCAAAATCCTAATGAAGATACCGAGTGGAATGACATCCTCAGGTCAAAGGGAATTATTCCAGAGAAGTCTAAAGAGAAGGAAATTACGGAAGATCAAATAATTAACCTGCTTGAAAATACTGTTGATCAAAGAACTGGTCGTGGTAATTATTGTTTATCTATTTATTAAATCATATTAAAGTTAGCACTCACTTGATAATTTTTTAATTTCATTCAACAAATAACATATTTTAAAAAAATTGTATTTATAGTTTTTTAAAATGTCTACATGTCAATATTTTTTTTCATTTTTTTGCCATAATTTATTCGTTAAAAAAATTATTAAATATCTGCTGAATTAATTCTTATATTTATTATAATTTACAATCTATCAACGGGACTTGAAAAATTTAATAATTGATAAATTTTTATAAATAATCTATATTATTAAGAGAATAATGCTGCATTCGAAAATGCTCTATCTCTAGATGCATAATTAAGAAATGACCTAGTATTTTGAAAACTATTGACATTGAGTGTAACATCGATATGAGCTTATATCTTTAAAATATATATTATATATATATGTATATATGAAAAATATATAAAAAATGCATGTGGGTACTCAAATGAAAGCTCTTGATGAGTGTAACACCAGGATGAGCTTATATCTTAAAAAATGTCAATAGTTAAAAAAGTACAGTGCAATTTAACAAAAATCATTATTTAATAAAGCAAAATTTTATTTAGTTATAGTTCATAAGTCACGGCAGTCACATGGTGACTAGTGTTGCTAGTTTATTTGTTAAAAAAATTATTAAATATCTGCTAAATTAATAATCATATTTATTATAATTTTAAAAATTTAATAATTAATTAATTGCAATAAATAATTATATATTAATTACTTTTAATTATTGTAGAAAAGATAAACTTAGAAGACAAAACTTTGGATGAGCTAGACGAGCTCGAGGATGAGGAAGATGAAAAAGTTTTAGAGGAATACAGACGGAAGAGGTTTGCTGAAATGAAAGCACTGGTGTCTAAATCAAAGTATGGAGATGTTAAGGAAATATCTGCTCAGGATTACGTTGCTGAGGTTAATAACGCTGGTGAGGATGTCTGGGTCGTTCTTCATTTGTATAAATCTGGGTAATACTATTTGCACTGACATTATTTTATTAATAATAATAATGATGATAGTTGTAAGAGGTTATAAAATATGAATTATTTATCTTAAACTCGTCCCTTTAGGATCCCACTGTGTACTTTGATAAATCAATATTTGTCATCGCTGGCTAAAAAGTTCCCGGCGACTAAATTCTTGAAGAGCATCTCTACGACCTGCATCCCCAACTGGCCGGATAAAAACTTACCTACGATATTTATTTACCACAATGGAGAAATGGCTAAGCAGATAATTGGACCCATAGAACTCAGAGGAATGAAACTGACTGAGCAAGGTATAATCTGGCTTGTTTAAAAATTTATATACTTGTTTAAGAGAACTTTATTTATATATTTATATATTTATTTATATTAAAGAACTGGAGTGGATGTTGGGCGAAGCCGTACCGTCTAAAATAAAAGAAGATCCAAAGCCCAAAGTCCGCGATGTGCTTTTTTCAAATTTACGTATTAATGACAATAATGACAGCAATGACTGGTGACGTCGATTTATTAATTTAATTAATTATTTATTTTAATGAATATTTAAATTAAATTAACATTTAGAGATTTATATTTAAATGACCTTTATTAAAATAATTGATATTTTTTACGAGATATGTATTAAATATTTTGAATATTTTATTTTATTTGATTAATTCATTAATAAAACAAATTTTAATTAATTTTTTTCTAATTTTTTATTAATAATAAAAATAGTATGACAGTAAAAAGACATTTAAAAAAATTTATTTTTTATTTAAAAATTAAATACATTCAAAATTTAAATTAAAATATTTTTTATTTAATTTAATTTTTTTTTTTTAAATATTAATATTTATTAAAAACATAAAAATTTTTTTAAATGTTTTTTATTTTATTAATTTTTTAAATTCAAATAAAACTTTTTTTTGGCGGGAAATTATTAGCGAATAAGAATCAAGCCGCCATCTTAGTTATTCAGCAAAAATTAAAAAATTCATTAAAATATTTTTTATTTAATTTTAGTATTTTTTAAAATTTAATATTAAATAATATTTATTAAAAATATAAAAACTTATTACAATGTCCTTTATTTTATTAATTTTGTAAATTTAATAAATAAAACTTTTTTTGGCGGGAAATTATTAGCGAATAAAAATTGACTAGCCGCCATCTTAATTATTCAGCAAAAATTAAAAAAGCCATTCGAGGTATCGATTGCAGACTGCGATAGTCCGTTACAGTTTAAAAAAAAGCTCTGAACTTTAATTGAACAAAACTTAGCATTAGAATTGAAAAAAAAAATGCCTCCCAGTAATTTAAATGAATTTTTAATTAATTATTTAGCGTATGAATTAAATTCTTTATTATTAATCGAAAAAAAGTTGAAAAAAAAGCGTTTTGTACCAAACATTTTAAAAAAACATCAAAATCACTCTAAATTTTCCAAAATTAATAACAAAAATAAAATTTCGAAAAATAATCGCAGAAAGCAAAAATTAATTGTAAAAAAAGACTTGAGTGCAATTATCGAGAAGATGAATGAGCTGATGCTGAGTGGTGTAAATCCTGATGCTGGTACTCGTGAAATCCTGGAAGATTCTCCAATGTGGTACGTAGGCGAGACAGATAATTACTTAGATGTAATAAATAAAATAGAATTTGTCGATTCTGTCACTTTTCACTCACCAACGCACTTGTCTAACAATTTTTGTGAAAATTTTATGGAGACTCAGTCTTCGGAGTTAAAAAATCTTGCTTTGGTTGATAACATTCTCCTGGATACCAGCGGGCTTGAAGTAAAAGTCCTTGGCTATCTGGGAGGGAGTATTGATGAATTTTTTGTGCTTGACAATCGTATTGATGACCAATATACCCGCGTGGATGGTTTTCGCGATAACTTCGGGCCATTTGAGCTCGAATTGATTGATAACGCGAGCGAAAACGTAGAAAATACCTATCTGATGATTGAAATGCCGGGTGACAGCTGTAACCTTGATCACCGTAAGGTTGAGTACAAAGTGATTGATAATTTCGAAGAGTTCTACAGCCTTCTGGATTGTAATAAAGATTGTTCAGACAAAGAAGCTTTAATGGGCCCATTTAAAACTGGTAAGTTAATTGTGTTAAGTGCGTCGCTGCAAGTAATTATTTATTTATTTATTTTATTTTTTATTACATTTAGTAACTTATGTAATTATTTGCCGGAGTAGTTATTGATTTTTAATAAAAATACTTTTTTTTTTTTAGTCCTTTGAAAGAGCTGCTGCATCACCTGAAGCATAAAGAAGAAAAAAATTAATCACAAGATTCACAGTTAATATCTTCTCGTTTTTTTTTTTGTGGAAAAGTATTCACCAGAAAAAATTTCTTCCGAGATTTGGCGCATTGTAAAGAAGAAAAACTTTTTGCGCTAATATAAGTTTGTTAATTAAAAAAATTGTTACTTTATTTTATGGTTGTACTGTAAATATTTTATCGATTTTAATTTTTTAGCGAACGAATTTATTATATATTCATAATTAATTGTTTTAAAAATAATAATGTTAGTTAAGTTGTTAATATAAATGAGAGCTTTTATTTAATAAGGTATTTAATATATTAATGAAATAAATGATTTAACTTGTTTTAAAAGTACTTAAATATCTTCATACCGAGCGGAGTCAACATCCGTGCTGACCTAGCTGTTATTCAATAAGTAACCACTACGGTACTCCGAAACATATGTACACATGTTCGTGCTTAATATGCTTTTATCCAGATTTCACAGGATGAGAATATTTAAAAGCATTTTTTCTAGCGTGTAATCTCTTATCAAAGAAACTTACCCAGTCCGATAGCGATAAGGACGGAGAGATATGACATAGATGCTAAAATGCACTGGAAGCAGATCAGATAAAATAATCAATGGTATTATTTATTACATTGTTATTATCATATGATAAAATTGATTTTTTTAGTGAAATTTAGTGTTATTGCAAAGGTACTGACTTAAATTTATCCCTTCTCAAGGTTTCATATCATTCCTAGCGATAGTCAATTTATAATGATAAATATTAAGGTTGCGTTAAAAAATGCTCTATCTCTAGCTACATAATTAAGAAATGACCTCGTATCTTGTGAACTATTGACATATTTAAAGATATAAGTTCATCTTGATGTTACACTCATCGAGACCTTTCATTTGAGTACCCACATCAAATTTTCATATATTTATATTGTCTAACTCCATTTTAGAGAATCTTCTATTTGTACGAAAAAAAACAATTAGTTCAAAATTCATTATCTCTTTAAAAGACCATTTAATATCATTATTATCTATTAGAGATATAATATTTAGGTTTGAATCATTCAAATAATTTATAATTTGATTATGGCTACATCAAAATGTTAAAAAAATCATCCTCTAAAAAATATGAAGTTAGTCTAATTACTAATTAGACCGTCGATATGTATATATGAAAAATATATCAAAAATGCATGTGGGTACTCGAATGAAAGCTCTTGATGAGTGTAACATCGGGATGAGCTTATATCTTAAAAAACGTCAATATTTAAGAAAGTTCAGTGCAATTTAACAAAAATCATTATTTTATTAAGCAAAATTTTATTTACTTATATTTCACAAGGTTGCTAGTTATTATTACTATCACTATCACTCAAACTATAAAAATATACTTACCTCCTTGTAGAAGAGTAAGTTCATCGTAAAAATTTTCCCCGCAGTTATAGCAAATGCTTTTCTGCTGCGAATTATTATCAGCATCAAAGACCGGGATTGCTTGCTCTTTTTAACGCTCCAATCGATTTCACATACTGCTCTTTCGACCTCCTCACTTTTCTTACTCAGTTTTTCACCCAGCGAGCAATAAATAATTAGACTGAACCCGCTCCAGCACACATACAATAAATGAATTATTATTCCGGATATATTTTTCTCTTGCGCTGACTGAAATAAATAATTAATTAATTAATTAATCAAATACATACCCTACAAAAAAAAAAAAAAATTAATTTACCTCAACAACAAAAAAACCCATAGCACAAAATTTAATAATAGTAAAAGTAGTTTTAGAAAATATAACAGCACTAGAATAACAATTTATTTCTTCAACAAAAAGACCGATGTCTACATGATGATCAACGATGCATTTCAGACAAGGACATGATTTTTGATAGCTTCTCAATTCCGTAAAATTATCACCCGAATGCCTGATTAATCCTCTGTATTTGTAAATGGTAGAACAGAGTAATGACAATTGTCCCTCGCAGTGAAAAACTGCCATGATAGTAAATGCATCAATCGCAACATCGATTAGCGAGTCGATAAAGATTGTAGCTATTGTAAAAATAGAAGTTAATAAGATGACAAAAAAATTTTCCAAAGGAAACGGATACCAAGCGACTCTCGCGACTTGGCGAGGTAATTCATGTCCTAAAATCGCTGCAAAAATATATGGCATTGTTGAGAAAGTGATAACACAGAAGATAACGAAGGAAAATGCCAAGCGGAGGACAAATTTTGAGCTTAATAAATTTTTTTGAAGCATTTGTTTGTCCTCATTGGAAATAAATGGCATGCAGAGCCAATTGTCGCTCATGTGATTGGTAATTGCGGTAATTGATGAGAAATTCCAGCGGACTATCAACATGGTGATGATTGTGTTGGTCACACTTAGCACATACCCAGTGGACTCGACAATGTCTTCAATAGAGTCGCTGGAGAACAAAAATGCGGCAAAAGGCAGCCAAAGGACGATCAAAATTATGATTAAAATAGAGGAAAAATGCAAGAAAGTCGCGCTTGGCCATAACCCGCAGAAGTGAAGGAAACTACGTGGTAAATAAATTTCTTGGTGGAAGTTTCCGTAATTCGCAGGCACTTGTTCAACCATGCTGTTCTATAAAGTGATAACGACAGTGATACCGGGTTTAGAACTAAACTTCTGAGATGCTATAATAAAACTGACTGACAAGTCATAAAGTTGACGTAATGGTAACAAACTTTGGAAAGTCTTGTGTGGATTTAACTGTAAATATTTAATACTCTGTCAATACGAAATTGTGCTCTTTCTTTGCTGATAATTAAAGACATTAACTCGTTTGAGGATCGGGAATTTACAAAGGAATTAGAGAAGACGAGAACAGGGGGATTAATTATTTATTTAGAGGATTAATAGTTAAACTGTGCGGAGAAGTACATCAACATATACGAATTGACACTGGGGATGATGATACCTTAGCAGGTTCAGGGCATTGATTAGGTACTCCCAAATACGCCCAAATATTTAAGCTTCTGTACGGTTACTTGTACACATGTCTGTGTGTACACAACTCCTCTGACGCCCCGTTCTTATACCAACAAGTAAATTTCATTTTATACTGTTTATTATCTGTTAGGGATTGAGTGCAAACATTTGTGATGACAGTACAGTTGCTAGATATTTTATGTATGACCTTTGGAAGCTTGCGCTTATATATTACTATCTCTAGGTATTGATGATTTATCATCAAGGCTTTTAGCTTAATTGATGGAATCTGTAATCAAAGCTATCATCATAGTAATTAATATCCTCAAAAATAATCTCTGAAATCCGAGATTTGAAATTTTTTTTAGTTTATTTTAAAAATAAATTAGTATTGACAAAATTATTTTTTCAAATTATGATGAAAATTTATTTATGGGGAATTTAGAGAAATTTTTCTTGTATTTTATTTGTTAGAGGAAAGTTTTTTAAAAATTATCAGAAATAATTTTTTTAAAAAATGAAAATAATTTTTCAAGATTATAGATTGAATCTTGAAAATTTTTTTTTAAATTTTCTGTATAATCTTTAATATTAAGAGAATAAGCATAATTTTGTAGCCAGTGTATTTATATGATAAAATGGGTTTTTATGGTAAAATTTGGTATCGTTGGAAAAGTCTTGACTTACATAATTAAGAAATGACTTTGTATCTTGTGAACTATTGACATTTTTAAAGATATAAGCTCACCCCGACAATACACTCATCAAGACCTTTTATTTGAGTGCCCACATCAATTTTTCATATATTTTATATACATTACATATATGTATATATGAAAAATATATCAAAATGTATGTGGGTACTCAAATGAAAGCTCTTGATGAGTGTAACATCAGGATGAGCTTATATCTTTAAAAATATCAATAGTTAAGAAAGTACAGTGCAATTTAACAAAATGAAGAAATGAACTTGTATCTTATAAACTACTAATATTTTTAAAGATATAAGCTCATCCCGATGTTACACTCATCGAGACCATTCATTTGAGTACCCACATCAATTTTTCATATATTTCATATATTACATATATGTATATATGAAAAATATATCAAAAATGCATGTTGGTACTCAAATGAAAGCTCTTGATGAGTGTAACATCAGGATGAGCTTATATCTTTAAAAACGTCAATATTTAAGAAAGTACAGTGCAATTTAACAAAATTCATTATTTAATAAAGCAAAATCTTTATTATTATTAGTTCACATAGTGACTGCAAGGTTTTTAATAAGTAATTTATTGTAAAAAATCCTTAAAATTATCATAGAGAAGATTCTTGCGGTCAAAAATAAAAAAAAAGTAGAAAGAGAATAATTTTATATTAAACAGACAAATTCCAAACAATAAATCTGAAAAATGTATTTAAAATTTCCAAGGATTGAATTAAAAAGAGAAATTAATCAACCGTTCCTCCGGGTAAGAATCCTCGACACGCTAAAGATATTTATCTCGTAATATTTATATTAATAAAACTGAAACGAAACGTTTTTTGAGCGTCTGAGCCGGCTTGAGAATTCACCCTTCAGAGTGCTCCCCAGCAGCTCGCTCGGGTACCACCAGTACAATCTTAGTTTCTTGCAACCCCGAGCGCGAGAGTTGGCATTATACACACAAAGACCAGCACTTACACGTCTCGACAGTATCATCGTAGAGTCTGCAGGGGAGTTTTTACGTGGCCGTGCAGCAAGCGGGAGAGAAAAAGAGCCAACAGTTGGGGTTGTAGTTTCTCGGATGCGGGTGGATAAGGGGAGCACAATATATACATCTATAGATCCTGCGAGGAAAATGAAAAAGGGATGAGAAGTTGATACTCTGGAGTAGAGTGGGCACATCATCAGTGGCGCTTCTTACGGGGAAAATCGAAATCAGAGCTTGCGCCGGAACGCAGTGATCTCCAGTAGTAGCCCGGTCGCTGTAACGGGCGTAGCTGGATGCTGGATCATTCGTCAGGGTGGCTGCCAGCTCGTTCCTCGTGCGTAGTAAAAACCAGCAACGAAAGCGCCCGAGAAGGATTTCGCGGCGGGCTGGACCTAGAAGTAGAAGTAGGTGTAGGTGTAGGTGGAAAAACCCTCCTCTGGTCATGAGTTTTTATTGTTTAAATAATAATAATAATTACAATAATCATCCCAGTTCCTCCGATAGTAACAGTATCAACTTCTGCCGCTCTAATTGTTGTTGTTGTTGTTGTTGTTGTTGTTGTTGTTGTTGTTGTTGTTGTTGTTGTTGTTGTTGTTCTTCGGCTGGCAAAGACAATTGTTTAGTTGGAATTGATTTGACAAATTGATCTAAGTGCTGATAATCCCTGTTAAACAAATGTCCAGTCCTGCAATCACAGAATTAATAAAATACCTGGCGATATTTTTAAAAATAAATTAAAGTGGGTTGTTGAGTGTACTGTGCTTAATTTAATTGTATCTTAATTATTGCCCGATAATTAATTATTAATTATTAATAATGGTATCTGTGGAATTATAGGTGAGTGAAAGTGGCTAATTGGGATGCTGCAGTCGTGACCGAGATAAAGGAGGAATGGAGCTTACAATGTGTCGCCGGGTAAGTTATTTTAATTTACATTACTTAACTTTATTTATCTAACCCGGCACAAAGAGCCAAGCCGGGGATTTCGAGGGAATAATTGCGTAAATCTCCAGACGCCGGTAACTGTTAGTTGTACTTACGATGGAAAGCGTGGCTGATATGCTGCTATTCTTGCCGGTGGATTTGCTCGAGGAGGAGGCAAATGGGTACGGGAGTTTGCTGTCTAATTCGAGAGACGTGTATTGAGCGGTAGTTTATGGTGATGCGCTACGAGGACTCTAATTCTCCGGGGGAATTCCGAGGGGTGTCTGGATTTCGCTAATATTTATCCGCAATGTAAAGCTTCGTCAGTATTTAGTGTACTGGTTAGGATTTATATTTTTTTTTCGATGAATTTTTTTATGTCGGAAGTTAGCAGCCATTTTTTAAATAAAATATTCTATGATTTTTTTTTAAATAAATTTTTTATGTTTAGAGAAAATATTTTTTTTTAATTAAAAATTTTTGAAGAAATTTTAACTCTTTAAATTAATCAATATTATTAAAAAAAATTAAAATGCTCTGCAATTAAAAAAAAAATAAAAATTTCCAAATTAAGAAAAAAATTTTAGTCTAAAAAATTGAAGAAAATTTTAATTAAAAATATTTTTTTTTTAATTAAAAATTTTTCAAAAATTATAAGAAATTTTGACTCTTTAATCAATATTATTAAAATTATAATACCCGGAAATTAAAAAAAAAAAAATAAAAATTTCTTAACTAAGAAAAAGATTTTAGTCTAAAAAATTAAAGAAAATTTTAATTTACAATTTTTTAATACCAAAAACTTAAAAAATGGCGGGTGACGGCTAACTTCTGGCTCTAAAATCAGATTTTTTGTCATATATGATCGAGGTGTCATTGAGTGTAGAGTTTATAAATAAATGATCGTTATAATACTGCCCGGAGGGCCTCGAGGGACTGAAAAGCGGAATAAGATGGAAATTCTGGGTGACTAATATCCGTCAAGGTGATACCTGTAATATATAAAATAACAATAATAACAGTACAGGTTTAGAGGGTAATGTGTGTTGGGTTATGCAGAGGAAGGGATGAATGATAAAGAAAATAGAGAAGAGGCGGTGTTCAATTAAATTTAACCGAGAGATATGGATATGATGGAGAGGATAGAGGAGTACGGTTGGTTGGCAGATGGCGTCTGCGGAACACGAGGGGAAGAGAGGGAGTTGTGATAAAATAAAAAAGGGAAAAAGCAGAGTAGGCAGAACCCAGCAAGAGGGTGAATAGAAGGTAGACGTAGACGCAGAAAAAGAATCACCGAGGTGATGGATCCACGTGCTTCTCCTAAGTACGCGATAAATTCTTTCTTTTTTTAACTTTTCTTTAAAGTTGTAGTCTGTAGCGAAGGACTATTCGCGCGATATCAAATATTACTCCTTTAGGGAGCCGAGAATTTTGAGAAATGTGTAAAAAATCGCTTGCGCGCACTGGCACGGGTATGGATAAAGTCTCTCGGGGTTTTATTTTATTTTTAGCTTTTTCCATCGGGGATTTGTCGTTCGGAGTGATAGAAATAGAAATAGAAATAGAAATAGAAATGGAAGAAAATAAAATATGAATTGTATGTGGCGGGATGAAAATTGGGCAGCAGAGTTTGGTCAGCCGGGGCTTTATAGCTCGCAAGTGACGCGCGATAGAAGTAGAGTGGATGGATAGAGGAGTTGAGTTTTGTGAGCGCCATTCGATGTCCATTCTACTAGCTGCGATACTGCGATATTCACTCTGCGGAATTATGTGCATTCGCGCGACAGAAAAAGAGAGAGACCGTGAAAATGCCAAGCGATGTTTTTCTACGCTAATATGCCTCTGGTATATATGGACAAATTTCATCTCCGGAACGAGTTAATAGGTTAACATGGGCATTTGTTTGCCAGACAGGACGCTAAATTTCGTTAGCCATCGCCGCGTTTGCAAATTTTATGCCTTAGTTCGATTAAGCTTCGTGATAATGCACTTTTTTATAAACACTTTTTGATCGAGATCGTTTAT